AAATGAGGATCCTGATATATAGTTGTGTTTTGATTTAAAACGTCAACTTCTGTTGTTATTCTTTACTTTTTTGCAATAGAAATGTCAAACTCGAATGATGAAAATTAAAGATATGATGATGGTCGCACAAAGTTCCGTGTCGACCCACGCTTTACAATAAAATCATTCATTGTATAGATATAATTTAAACAATGCCGAGGGATAGCAAAACATGGCCCTTTTTGCAAAATCAACTAGACCTTCTTACTGCTAGTATACCTACCTACCATTGCAGTAATAGTATTTTTCCATAATTGTTATTTTCTGCAGTAACTATATACGTATGGAGGTATTTGGTTATTTTCTATTAACACGTAGGTACTTAAGGGAATAAAATTTTATTTACTTATTATTTTTCTATTGATTACTACCTATACTTATATTTTATAGTATAAAATCCATTACTAAGAAGAGAAAAAGGAATTCCGTTTTCAAAAATTGAATTGAATTATTTTTTAAGTCAACGGTCCCTTGTAGATATTTCTTAAATTACGTAATTTTTAAGAAAATACGGCATGTCGGAAGGCGTTTATTGAAGTCATGCTGGGGGAAATCCCATACAATATAGCGCAATATAGTCTAAATTATCATTGGTATTTAAATTTAAAGGTGCGGATTCTTTTACAGGTTTGGTCTCTAGAAAGATAGGATGATAATTTAGAGAACTACTATAACTTTGTAGAATTGATCTGCAATTATGTTTGTTACACCCTGCAGGTTGCTTGTAATTATCCCGTCATTATTGCGTAAAAACGCCGTGTATAGGTAATTGCAACCGATTTTTCCGGATATTGCTCCCACCTTCTTCCAGACTTCGTTACTGGTTGTCTCCGGTGTAATAGTGGATAGGTACATATTTTTGCCACGAATTTCTTTGTGCCTCCCAGTATTCCTCGGATCTTCGTTTTTTGAAATTTATTAGATTACCCAATGTGGGAGGATTCTGAGTTCCGACGGAATCTATTTAAGGCATTTTTCTTTAGTGTTTTTTTTCAGGTGACCACCATTTTTCTGATATGGTCGGGTTTTAATTTAGGGATACTTGTTTTGGCGGCCTCTAAAATCGAACTGGTTAGAGTCACTCTGATTTGGAGGGACGAGCTATTGCCTAAAACGTTCCCAATCAGCTTGTCGAATTTCAAATTTGGCTATCGTTCTCATAGGGGGATTATCGCCTTGGACTGTGATAATTATGGGAAAGTGGTCACTGTGATACAGATCATTTTTCACCTCCCATTTTAGGTCGGTGAGCATACCGACACATCGATGGAGTCAAAATTTCCCGATCTGACATTAAAAAACGTTGCCGAATCGTCGTTTAAAAGGCTTAGGTTTTTATTTTCGATTAAATTTAACAGTTCTTTGCCTCGAGCGTCGTTTGAGCCGAAACCCCAAACGGCGTTATGAGAGTTGAAATCTCCGACAAGGATAAAAGGTGTCGTAAACTGATTTATAATTTTTTCGATTTCCTCAACCTCGTTTTTTGTATTTGGAACGTATAGATTGCAAATCGTAAAGGATCTGCTTATTTCGAGTTGTATTGCTACTACGGCTTCATACTCTGTATCTAGTTCGACTCGTTTGTAAGGAGTACCTTTTCGTAAAAGGAGAGCCACTCCCCCACAGGCTCTTGCAGGTGAGTAGAAATCCTTTCTTATGATGTTGAAATTTTTAATGTTATATTTTGTTCTAATGTTTTAGAGGTGTTTCTTCCTTGCAGAGCAACACATAATGGTGTATGTCTTTGAATCAATAGGTAATTATAACTCGTTTTAAGTTATTGGGTAGTCCCCGACAATTCCATTGGATAATTTTGGTATCCATTACAAAGATAAGATTAAAAGAGACAACAGTGGAATAAATAATATTAATAAATAACAGATCATGTGTATAAGGGACGACTACAAACAAATAACAATTAATTTAAGACAGATACAAGAGACAGAGAGAGGAGATATCACAGATTTGGTAATTCAATACAAATTGTAGGTAGATTATCACAGTAAATATATCACGTATGGGTATCAACACTAGAGAGAGATTTTCCTAGGTTTCCTCTTTGGCCATCCTTTTTTCTTCTTTTGTTGAAGAATTTGTTTGCTCTCTATATCTAAGGCTCTTCTTCATCTAATATTGGCGAAGATGGGGTTGAACTATCCTCATCTCGCTTCCTCTTATCAACAGGTTCCGCGATTGTCAAATGACAGTGCTGGGTTAAGGTTTTCAATCCTCTCACGTTTCGATCGGCTATAATTGTTGTTTCTCGTTCAGAACTTAAATGAGGTAATTCTATCGGAGACGGAGATACGGTTGGTTTCGGCATCGATTGTTTAACATTTTCAACTAAGGTGGAGGTAAGTTCTTTAATTTCGTCTTTAACTATTTTTCGGATTTCAGATACCAGGTTGGGTTGAGTATCAGTGGTTATAGGTGTGTAGCAACATTTGAGTACGAGCTGTTTGAAGTAACAGCCGATCCAAGCATTCGTTTTGCCTCCACCTTACAGGTAACCTTTATCTCTTGAATTTGTAACTCTCTTTTAGGTATATACTTCGCAAGTTCTAAAATTTGCAGGATGTGTACCGTTGCAATTGAGGCATACGACTGGATCGTCACATGCAGAACCCGGATGTAAGGATTTTCCACATCAGACATATTTGTTCCTTCTCACATTTTAGTGTTGGGTGTCCGAAACGTTGACATTTGTAACATCTCATTGGTTGTGAAACATATGGTACCTATCACTTTCAACTTATAAAAAAGCCGCATTAATCACCCTGGGAAGTTGGGTGGCATTGAAGGTAGGTATTAAGTATAAGGTTGCTGGGAGTATCAATGAAGGTACCTCCAACTTTGGTCCTAATTCTCTTCGAAGAGATGGTGGTGATCACCACCACAACATTTTCTCCACCCAGTTCTTCCAATATTTCTTCTTCACTACAGTTCATTAGATCCCGGCAGTATATCACTCCTTTACTTAAGTTTAGCGTATCATGCGAGGTTTTCACCTGAACTTCAAAATTACACATCCTTTTAACTTTCAGGAATCATTTTGGAGAATTCTTCCTTTTTCTCAACAAGCAAAAATCGGGGATAGTTATCCTCCTTTTCATTACCTGTTACAGGTAGCGGGGGGAAAAAACCACCCTCTCCATCAATGCCGCCAGAAGTTTGTACTTGCGTTGGGGCCTCGGTCATCAACCCACAACGCCGAGCAGCCGCTTGGTAGCGGGCGGGTGAGGCCTGCCCGCTCCCGACCGGCACCGTCTTAAGGCGTTTTTATGCTACCGCCAGCATTAATCAATACAAGGAAAAAGAGATAATTTGGAGTGGGGTAGATAAATGGGTAGGTAAGTTACTAAAGGCGGTTGGACTCGTCGCCTTTAGTGCCCATTGATCGCCTTGTACGATCTCCAGGTTGGGAGTGGGTCAATTCTACCCCCGAGCCCACAGGGGGGATATTAAAGGATTATTTTTTTTTGTATAGGTGAGGAAATCCATCTTATGCACACTCTGAAAGGTACTTAGTTCCAGAGTAGTGGGGGGCTCTCCCGTTTGCTGGGAATGCCCACTAAAATCCCACCTAAGGCTTCGGCTGCTGAGGCCATTTGCCTATTGCCCTATAGACAAAGATACAGACGAACCAGACGAAACAAGAACTAGGCAACATTTACGTCAGATGCGCAGGAAAACCTCAACAGAATTCTCCATACACACATAAGAGGTTTTCCTTGAGGTCTTGCGCCTTGAGGCATGCCTCCGGTTTTTGCGTTGCGTGTGGAGCCTCCTTTAGAATTCCATGCCTCCATGTCATATCGATTATTATTATTATAAAATATACTGAGAAACCCTTCTTTCTATATATATACTTACTTTATAGTTTTTCAAATATCACATTATTATTATATTAGGTATATTTAGGAAATATAGTTTCAATTTAAACATTTTTTTATTAATTTGATATAAAATTATAATCACAGCAAACCTCCAAAATGTATTTGCTTGATCCTTGTTATTTTTCGACTCCATGGCTACCCATTTCCTAGCCATCTTGCAATCGCCACACGTTCATGCTTGCCAAACGTGACAATGACAGCACAAGGAAATTAGTTAGGAACAAGGGTAGCGTTATTGAGAATGACGCAAATTAGTAAGAAAGGCATTTAGTCCATAAGACCCCATACTGCATTTGGAGGTGCGAGCACGCTATTTCTTGATAAATTCGGTTACCTCAAGCTGCTAAATTTATGCGGTTACCTACCATTTTCAAAATTTATTCTTGCAATGTAATTTACTTGAGTAAATTTCCGTTTAAAGTATGTTCGATCGTTTTACTTTTACTTCTGTACCTCCGATACTTTCACGGAACATCATGCATCGTAGACCTCAGTTAGTTCAGGTGGAAAAGTAAATATTAAATTCCGTAGTTCTTCGCAATGCTAGCCTGATAAGTCATTTGCATTGATCTCATTTAAAAAGCTTAAGCTAAAAACGCCCCTTACCAAAATCACATAATCACAATCATATAAATTTTGGCTCACAAGGTAAACCTAACGATGTTGCTTTGTGAAGCATCCATAATGCGGTCGTATAAGACAAAAATTAGTTATTTTTACAAATAATATAATATATATAATAAAAAAACAATGTATCTTTATTAACAACAGCGTCGCTACAACCATTGAGTAATTAAATATCCTTCACTCAACGCTACAACATATTACCTATTTATACTTTACACATCTAACATCACAGAACATTAAGTCAAAATAACTTAAAAACCATAAATGGTAGATATCGACATATGGGTATCAAAAGAACTGAAATTTCACGTAGAATCCAAAAATGCAATAAAAAATAGGGGTTGCCATTTAAAATAACGAAGTTACTATCTACTTCCGGTGTTTCCGGAAGTGCGGCCATTTTGAAAATATTTTACATCGATTCGGCCTTCAGAGTAACTCCTAAGTACAAATTTTCAAAAACCTACCTATTTTACTTTCCCAGAAACTTTTAACTAAAGCTCCCAAAAAAACACCCTGTATATTTCTTTTAATACAGCGCAAGTGGACACAACTTTTTCTTAGGTGCACCATTGTGTATATTAAAAACAATGACGTACATATTTATCAAATATTTATTTAGTCTTTCCACCTATGGTACCAGCATCGTACATTCAGTACCTACAAGGCGCCGCTCTAATTTGAATACAGTTGTAGCACCACATACAGTTCAGACTGGTATATGTAATCTTCCTTTAAAAATACTGCAACTGATATGTATATACAAGAAAAGCATCTCCCAAAAAACCCTTCTTCTGAGAATAGAATATGAAAAGATTTCATTAGATATTATCATTTTGCACAATAACATTTGAAACCTATTTTTCAAAAAAATCACACATCTTTCTTATGAGCAAGATAGAGAAGAATACAAAGGTGAAAGGAGCATTTTGTTATCGAATTTACTGATTTTTAAGATATCATGTTCTATGTATCATATGAAGTTTTCCTTATTAGCAGTTGTATAAAATTAAAATTGATTTCCAGCATTTTCTCTTTATGTAAAAAAAATTTACTCAAAAGCTTGATCCATATTTTCTTAGATTCAGCAGCACACCATTCTTAATGGGCCGGGCCACCCAGTACAAATTTCTTCCGACTTTATGATTCATTGTGTGAGTATAAAAATTATTAATTGTTTTACAGTAGTTTATCTTATCCAATGGTATAGCTATAGCATATTTGAATGGTACTTTGCCCACACTGAACATAAACGACTTCCAAAAATTTCAAACAGAAAACAAAACCAGGATCATTCCGTATAAGTTAAAGAAAAACAAAAAAAAGATCATTTTAGCAAATCTGTTGAATCTCTAAATACATTAATCACATCAAAGTGCATTAACAAACTAGGTAAATCATTTTCGAAATGAACAACTCTGTTTATAGATGATCCAAGTTGTTGCAAAAGATCACTAAATCCTTTCTCTTCTCTTCGAACCCACGGTCTTCTTTCATCGTTTATTTGATATGGAGTTACATGGACATGGACTCTAATACCTAATAATTGCATTAAGTCAGTTATAAGCAACTGGGTGCTTACCCAAACGTGTAAGGGTCTCAAGTAAGCTCCTCGATGTAATCCAAGTATTTTTTTGACCAGAATGTCCTCCATCCAACCAATACATATCTTCGATCTGCGACACAATTGGCATCATCGTGTGATCATCGGGCGTGAGTGTTTTTAAGTAGTGAAATTCGTAAAGGAATTGATTTAAAACAACACAACCTTTACTAAATCCAATCAATATCAAATTACTTTTGTCTAAATTTATCATTTGAAGGCATTGTTGTGAACAACTTTTTCCCAAATGCTCACTTGCGGTAACTGTGTCCTTGAAAAATGGAAAACATATAATAAATCACTTTACTTTTTAAATATTACCTTGTCAGTGTCTCCTTTTCTTTGTACAAAATTTGAGCGAATTTTCTCCGATACACTTTGCAGTAACTTTTCTAAATGGTGAAGGGCATAATGTGTTGGAGTATGTTCAGGAACACCACAACTGTTGCCTGGAACGAAATTCTCATAACAGCTGAAGGTTTTAAATTCTATCCTAAATTGAAAATAATTTAGTATGTACATGTATGTATCATAAATAAATGTTTACCGTGAAGGGCGTATAACGACGACGTGGCAATTAGGAAAGTGGGAATGCAGGACTTTTGCTGTATCTTCAAGATTCCATTTTAAATAGTTTTTATTGTCCCTATGCAATTGCATATTTTCTGTAAAATCCTAAAATAAAAATAAGAATTACAAACCCTATTTACATTTTTTTAATTTAAAAAAGCAAAAAATGATAGCTTAGACCACACAGTACATGGAGTGCTACTTTCCATATTCAGTTTAATTCGCTCTTTAATTTGTGATATTAATTTCGTCTGTTTTCAATACAAAATCAAACATCTTCTGTAACCTGGTGATGATCCAACTAAAGGAAACTTATTAACGATTCTCGAGACCGTTTATAATTTTGTATTGCTGTCTGTCTGTCCATATGCAAGGCAAATCAGCGACAAGGTGAGAGAAATACGAGTACGGCCAAATTCAGATCAGTAGTAATTTACCCTCCCGCCTCAAGGGGCGGAACGGAAAAAATACAATCCTACAAATAACAATTTGCGCGTTATTACAAACTGCGATTCCAAATTTCAATTTCTTTAAATTTCGATTTTTGTTATCGCAGCCCAAGCCTGAAAAAACAACCATTTCTATTGGAGCTATTACTATTCCCCAAGTACTGGGCGATCTTTGTGTTCTTTGTGTAACATTCAAAAACATATTCAGCCCTCTTCCCCCACTTCCCAGTTGTATTTTGCTAACAACATATTTGAAATCAACGCACTCTTCTCCTAAAGGGCCATCACTTGGTTTATATGGCTTAATATATGCGGTCATAGCAAACTGGACTCACTTCGGATCACCCTAATTTAGTAAAATCTCAGTCTAAACGTCATGAAATACTTCAATGTTCTGACGCAATGTCTCTGGGGGTAAAGAAATGTTGCATTAAAATGGTTTCTATGAATAAAATCTTATAAACTATAACACAAACATGTTTTACTACTGGTCTATAAATATAATTTCCTGTGTGTCTTTGGGAGTTTTGCCAACTGCTGTATTTATTTATATGTATATATGAGTGACTGCAGTTCCCAGAGAGGTCAATGATCATTGCATGATACAAGAAGAGCACAAATACTCCGAATAAAGTAATTAATTTTATATCCACGCATCGATTCGAGACAATAATACCATTGAATTGAATAAGTAATCTAATGACTTATTCAATGATAATACTTTGTGATCGGCTTTTACAAATGAAATACAGGACGAGTTTTTTTTCATTTTCACTATGGGGATGTCATAAACCGTAAGAGATGGGAAGTCGCTTCAAGAGGCAAACTTTTGCACAATTTTATGCTAATTAATTTCCCCCCTCAAAGTTTCTTGTAGCTCTACACAAATAGCAAAGTTATGGCAATTGTTTTTACTCTATCGAGTGACATTAAAATTGTAGCGTCCATAAGACAGCTGATGTGATTTACTCGAAACAAGTCATAAAAAATTTATTTTAGCAGAATTCAGAATTCTGAGAAAACATCATTAAGGGTTTGTTAAAAGTATTTTTTGATATCTTTGAAAATAAATGACCAGTGCATTTCGGCGGTTTTTTGCCCATAACTTCGCTCTTTGTAGCGCTACAAGAATCTTTGAAAGAGAAAATTAATCAACAAAAAACTTTGCACACCTTTGTCCATTAAACAATTTTGTATCTCTTACGGTTTACGAGATCCCAAGCGAGATCCCCATAGTGAAAATGAAAAGAAATTTAACCCTATACAGGGTCATTCTTGACGAGCGTCAGTTAGAAAGATATGGAGAACCTTTGAAAATGAAAATAAACTGATAAGTGGTTTACGGGTTTTGGCACATGATGAATTGAACTAAAATATTTTCAAGATGGCGCCACTTCCGGAAATACCGGAAGTAGCCATCAACTTTGTTATTTTAAATAGGGACCCCTATTTTTTCTACATTTTCGGATTTTACGTCGCATTTGGAGTACAACGATACCATAGTTGACCCTTTGCTCCAAGGGCTTCGTCAATATTCAAGTTTTTATGTTAAAAATTGAATTTGCAGGGGTAATTAAAAAAATGTATTATTCGAAAACGGTGAGAGATATTGCAAAACAGTTTTAAATGCTTTATTAAGGAAAGATCGAATGGTGTGCGTAACCGTCTAAAAAAGTGAGACTACGTCACTTTTTCAAAGCTCTCAACTTTTAAATTTTTAAATATCCATAATCCCATTTTTTTAAATGAATGACACTCCCCATTTTGTTCTTCACCATTGTTTTCCTTTTTCCCCGACATTTAATTTGATGCAAAATGTCAAAAGCTGCTTCAAACGGTTTCCGAGATATTCCATGTTTTAGTTACCCACTTCTTGTGGCAAATTGATAAAAAATTAAGTCTCATGATGTTATTCTTTTGTTTTTATTATGATAATGTTTAAACGTCAAATGCTGCTTGAACTTGTACTTCTCGTCAATAATGGCTCGTTGTACTCCAAATTCGACGTAGAATCCGAAAATGTAGAAAAAGTAGGGGGTCCCTATTTAAAATAACAAAGTTGATGGCTACTTCCGGTATTTCCGAAAGTGGCGCCATCTTGAAAATATTTTAGTTCAATTCATCATGTGCCAAAACCCTTAAACAACTTATCAGTTTATTTTCATTTTCAAAGGTTTTCCATATCTTGACTGACTGACTTGAACTGACGCTCGTCAAGAATGACCCTGTATAGTAAGTAATATCCACACTGCTTAAGAGTCTTCTTTACCTAAGCGCAACTTTTTTGCATTTTAGTGTATAGATGTTTATAGCTGCAAGAGAATTTCTTGCTTTGTCAACTCCACTGTCTTGGTCCTTAGTTAGTTCCCACCGACACTGTGCAGCGGCGCCACTTGTTACACTCAAATTGTTGATTTACCGCCCGCCAAGATACAGACTTTATTTACAAAAATTATGATTTCATTTTTTGGGGTTATGTTTAGAAGTAACTTATTTAAAAACCTGTCGGTTTACTTTTTCCATAAATCGTCTTGATCGAGAGTAAAAAAATAAAACAGGTCAGCGCAATAATCGGTACGAAACATCTAATCTTTAAACAATCGGTATTCAGTTGCTATAATCTTTTAAAAAAAAATAGTCCGAACATTTTGTAGATGAAGGTCTAAATTTATAAAATAGTTCTTTAAAAAAATTGTTTTTTGAAAAACAACTAGAGTTTTATGGCGGGCATTTCTTATGGAAATTTACATTGGGTGCAGTGGGTACAGAAGACTCTTAAGGTGCATTTATTTTTTAAAGATTTCGGTACCGGTTCTATAGCTATAGATTTCCTGCAATAAATTGAGTTTCGCCCCCTGTGTGTCATGTTGCGTCGTCTTGTTGAAATAAAAACTCTTGCACATTAACGCCATTCAATTATGGAACGAAAAAGTCAGTAATCATGGGCCTATAGTGCACTTCGTTGGCTGTCACGTTCTGACCAAGATTATCTTCGCTGAAATATGGGCCAATGATTCCATCACCCCATAATGTCGTCTACGGAATCGTATCCAGGAATTACCATTTTCATTATTCATTCAGATTTTTCAAATTTTTTGACGTTTGACTGCTCTTCTTTAGTGCCCTATACCTATGGCTCTGTTGATCTGAATTTCAAAAACTCTTCCAAAATCAATAATACTGACTTGATGCTACATGAAAATGGTCAAATTTTAATCACCCTTTCTACAGGGTGTTTTAAACCTAATGGCCAATTTTAATTAACTTCGAAGTTAATTTTTTCAAATGAAACCTGCTTTATTCTTTGCAATCAAATGTCGAAAAAAAATCTACATGGGTCAATTATTACATTAGGTACCTTCGACATTACCTATACCTATCGGTTATGGTTTTCCTTTTATTTAAGATTTTCTAAAATTGTGATTAGTTTTCATTGCATTTACCATTCCATTTTTTTTAGTACAGTGATTTGATGTTGAACTTCAAAGATGGAGGTACATGTACGAACTGCCAACCATAGAGTTACCAAAAACAATGCTACAATGGGTGCGTTCACCAGACGAAGTGCTTCCTGAGCGCTACCTAAAGACGGGAATGAGATTTTCCGCGCGAGGAGCTGTCTGGCAGCACTGTCCGAGTGTAAATACCACCGTACGCCCCACTTACGGTGGTATGGTATGTACACCTCGACAGTGCTATCAGACAGAATCTCGCGCAATTGGTACCGATTCTTTTCAGTTCCGGTTCCCACTCCTGCTTTAAACTCACTGTATATTAGAACACCATATTCTTCAAAGCTACAATGTTTTCAAAGAAGTTTTTATGCCCCCCTTGACTCTCCAGATGTACGCCATTGACCACAATTTTACAATATACTGATTGGTAGCAAACTTTTTTGTATCCCACAAAAGCTTCTTTACAAAAATGTTGTTTTGAAAATCTATTCAGTGTTCCAGACAAATTTTCCACCCTGCATAAAAAAAAGAAATCAAAGATATCTACCTACCTGAACGTCTCCGCCAAAGAACACTACGGTGGAGTGCAGCGTGTCATGCAATGTTGGTGGGCAATAAACAATGTCATTAACACGTTTATCATAGCCCATGATGGCGCATAAACGTATTGGACAGGAGGGCGTTAAAACACCCAGCATACTCCGTCGCTTCACATCTAGAAGCAAATTCTGTTAATAATTATAGTCTTTTAAAACGGATTGGACACGAATTAGTTTGCAATATGTACACGAGTGGGTAGTAGAAAAGTTTGTATCGGTAAATAAAATTCAAAAGTTCCTGCAACCGCAACGACCAAAACAATATAGAAATCTAGTTCTTGTATCCTCCAAACACTGTGTTAAGTCTTCACGAAACTCCTTCGCTTTCACCCGTATTTCCTCACGCATCAAGTTATAGCACATAGCAACTAACCCCAAACCCACTAGCATATACATAAAGTTGATCACCAACTTGGTCTGGCTACCACCTTTTGAATCCTGTATATTGGCACCTGGTACTAAATCCCCAAAGCCGATTTTGCATAAACTCGTCACGCAAAAGTATACGCTGTCCAAGTAATTCCATCTTTCCCATATTGCAAACATAACTGTGCCTGTCAAGACATATCCGCCAATAACCCACAAACAAGCTCGCGATGGTACAACTATGCGACGAGCCTTTTCCTCCTCTTCAAAATCTTCACTGCTACACTCATACAGTCGCGTATAGACCCATTTAAAACATCCCGCAAGCACTTCTCCCATATTCATAAAGTATAGTATGTAAAGTGGTATTCCAAACACAGCGTAAATAACCGTGAGTGCCTTACCCCACTGCGTTTTTGGTGTCATATTACCATACCCTATCATTGTAATTATGCTCAGCGAAAACATTAATGCCGCTGGAAATGACCAAATCTCTTCTGGAGTTCTTCCCCGAAAACCTTCACGGAACAGCTTTACCATTTTATTTTGATACTCTAACAAAACAGTATCCATACGAGTACGAAAAAGGGGCTCGTTCACGGTGTTGATTTGATGAGCAATCTTCCATATATCATTAAGGCACCCTTCAAAATGAACATTAAACTGAAACGCTTTGTTCTGTCGTTCAATGTATCGAAACGCAAACGCGCCCACAACAGTATATCCGACAACCAATCCCCCTACACCAACTTGTGTGCACATAAACGCGATCACTTTCCGACAACAATCTTTAATTTTTTCACGCGAGCCTAAATCACTTAACGACGAAGAAGCTTTACTTCTTACGGAACTGCGAAAAAAATCTCCTCCTTCATAATCCATGTTTGTTAACCGTATGAAATATTCAAAAGACGTTTTCCACTCTTGAGCTATTTTTGTATTAACGTCCACTGGCAGAGTGCCACATATCTTGAACGTGAATTATTTCCTAATAATATTAATGCTTTCGCACAACTGATTAGTTCTATAAATATCTATTATTTCAAAATTCGCAAATTGATCGCGTATTGGTTTTTGCATGCCAGTCTTCTACGTATTTTTGCTTTAGGAGGAACACCTAGACATAATAAATGTATATTATGTACGAATTACTACTGTAGCATAAGAAACGCCTTAGTGCAAAGGTAAAAATTGCACTACAGCACATTGCCAACAGCACTTAAAAATATTTCGTGTTAATAACACACAAAAACTGTTCTACGTGTCGCCCTGTTTCTTTAAAAGGTCTTTAAATTACAATATAGGTACAATCTAAAATACAAAAACGAAACGAATTTTGACAACAAGGTTGTGAGCATCAGTCGACAACTACTTACGAAAGTTTGTTTTGCGCATGTGTACCCTCGAGTTTGCCATGCGCGTTACATTTGCCTACATTACAAGGCCCACATTCTATCATGTACATTCTATTTGTTTTAAATTAGAAATGTCAACCACATCAGGTGATAGAGAAGAACAATAAGAAGGGACCATATACTAACATAGCTAAAATCGTAATTATTACATCTACATAGAGAACGCCATCTTTCTGGAACATTCTCGAGTGCACCCGAAAGTTTCCGAATGTTCTAGAACAAGCCCGTCATATTTCTCGGAAGTGAGTCAAATCCGCTTTCGTTTCTTATCACTGATGACTAATCTCTCCATGAGGCCTTGATATCTATGGGAATTTCTACATTATTCGCTGCAGTACATTATGACCGGTCTCATCCAATCTGATAGATAACCTCCTACCTGCATACATTTTTTTCCATGGAAATTAAAACGCGTAAATTTAATTTGCGATTATTCAACCCTTGTGTACTATTTTAACGGCGGCGGTCATCATCCGGATTTGAGTTTAACCGAGTATTTCGCTATGCTAGTCAAAAGTACGTTTACACTCTCGACTTTGTCTTTGTGGATTACGTGGGAAATGATTTCTTTTCTAATTCCGTGCGTTATTTAGATTTATTATATAAGATCTACGTTATTTTTCAACAAAAGTTAGTAAGCCAAACATCGCACTGTGTAGTTTTGTATGAGTGTATATATTATCATACGGTATGTACTTATACTGCGCTTGAGATTGCGCCGCAAGCGGCTGTATTATTGATAAGAATTCAATGAGATAATTGATGCACACAAAAATTTTGTGAATCACAAAAACTAAGTGCAAATTATTACGTCTTAAATTCATTTAATCAATCTTAAATGAAAAAAATTACCTTGCAGTATGTTCTCTAGTACTTTAGTTCCATTGCAAGCGTGCACTGCACTGTAATTGTTAGTGCTACCAAAAAGTAATATAGGCGACATGTGCCCTTTATGGGTCAAACTTAAAATGTTAAAATCGACATTTGAAAATTTTCGCTCGCTTAACAGATACGGGGGAAAATCAAAGTATTGTCAATTTCAGAATGACCTTTGTTAAAAGAGATACCTCGAGAGATCCTGAAAAATGATTATCATAAAAGTTTCTTTATCATGATCGTTGAATAACCTGCCATTCTGAAAATAAGTATACGGGGCCAGAAAAATACTTAAAAGACCTAACCTCATTTTTTAAATGGAACACCCTGTATATTTTGACCAAAAAGATGGCACATTTTCATAAATATAACAGACAGATTCAAAAATGGTTTACATGATTCAAAAAATACAAAATTTACAAAAATTTAGTTAGTATTATATTTTTAAACAAAGAATTTAATATGCTATCTTTTTAGAATAAAATATACAGCACATTCGATTTAAAAAATGTCGAAAAAGGCCAGGGACATCCTGTATTCTACTCATTGAGCACTCTCACTTAATATCAACTAAACATCGGATGAAGTATAAGAAAATTTAAAACTAAAAATACCTCACAGCAGGCTCGTAGCCAGAATGAAGTAGCAGGGGTGGCCAGTATTTTTTTAGGGGGGGCTTAAGAAGTTTTTGATAAAGACTTCCCCGAGGACTTCCCCTGTAATTTTTGTAAAGGAACCATCAACCGTAATTTCCATCAGTGGGGGCAAGACCACGTTCTAGGTATCCCTGGCTACGGGCCTGCCTCACAGCAAGAAATAACGAAAAAATACCTTGCACAGGTTAGAAAAACCAAAAAATTATCAAGATTATTAACTCAATGCACCTACCGGTACCTACAAACTCTAAAATTACAAAAATCAAACAAAAAAACAAATCTTCATGATATTGCAGTCTCTCTGTACTCTCATTTCTGGCTAAACAGCTGAACCAAGTGAAACGAAATGTGGTACACATATTCTTAGACATAAGAGCAGGCCCGTAGCCAGAATGAAGTAGCAGGGGTGCCCGGAATTTTTCTAGGGGGGGCTTAAGAAGTTTTTGATAAAGACTTCCCTTGTAATTTTTGTAAAAGGACCATCAACCGTAACTTCCAGTGGGGGCAAGACCACGTTCTAGGTGGGGCTAAGTCCCCCCCTGGCCACCCCCTAGCTACGAGCCTGCATAAGAGAAAGAGCTAAAAAGCTTTTGGACAAAACGCCCATGTACAGGTGTGCAGGTAGAATCTGTGCTAGCCGCAGAGACACTTATTACATATACAAGTAAAGATCTTCTAGTAGTTTTAAGAATATTTGACATGTAATATCAGGGGTTCGGGCACTAAAAGTTGCAGCCCTGACCAAAGGCATGTGTTGTGCACATTTACATAGTAGGTAAATGAAATAATTTTACTGTCAAGCAATTCGTCTTAGTCCCTACAATCCTAGATAAAGGATAAATTGAAGTCAAATAATATTTGCACCCAGGTATAAACAGGAGTGCAAACATTTATAAATTGAGGTTATTATAATTCTCGCTTGTCCAAACTTACCCAAAAATCGTGGAAGAGTTGCAAATAATTTGGTGAATCCTTGCAGGTTTGTTGATTTATAAAAACACAAACAAATAAATATATTGTTTAAATTTACTTGAATGGTAAATATTTTGGTAAATATGTTGATATTTCATATACACGGCAAAATGTATACTACAGCAAGTAATGTACTATACAGTGTGTTTAAATCACAGTCTAGGTACACTGTGTATAATGCATATACAATGCTTGATATTCTTTGTAAAAGTCCTCCTTGTTCCAAAATTCTAAATGCACCATTTCGTTATTCTTTAAAATGTGAGGTTTTAGAATAAATTGAAACCACCTATCTTGCAACATCAAAATTTTGACTTACGTAGGTACAACATTGGCAAATAAAATCAAGTAAGCAGTCCCATAGTACGAGATCAATTCTGTACTTGAAACTCAACATTCCATACATTTGTCATTGGTCATTAGTCAATATAACCAATAGGGTACATGACAGTGGAAAAAGAATAAATAAGTTTTTGTTTCATAAGATAGAGTAAGGTGTCGCAGGGTATCGCAAAATAACTTTCTTTAGTACTGTACACGAGAAACTATTATATTTCAGTAAAACTAAAATTAAAAAATAACGACATTTGTCACGTGATATCAAACGCCAATCAGAGCGCGTGACGTCATTATCCTAATCCTCTGTGCGTTTGTAGAGTTTGTCTACGTTTTTTCGTTTTTTAATTTATTGCTTGTTCCATTTTATAGTGATTATATTATCCTAAAGTTTAGTTTTTAAAACCAGATAAGAATGGAAAGTGGGTATACGAAAGCTGATAGCAGCAAATCTGCCAAACAATGATGAAATGATGTTGGGAATATTTCTTGCATCAAACACAGATTTTTGTTCATCAGAAAACTGCCACAAGTCTTGTAGGTTCTTATTAAGTTAAGTTTAAATTTTTTACAAGAAATGTAGTATTTATAGTATGTAGTATTTAAGAGGAATGTGTACTTAAGATGCTTTGTTTTTATGTCATCGAAGCTATCATATGGAGATGTCCACTTTAAGAGTAGTCTGTTACGAACATTTTGTAGATAAACGTCTAAATTTATAAAGTACCTAGTTCTTACCTAAAACAAATTTTTTTGGAAAAACAGTTTTTATGGCGGGCACTCTTATGGAACCTTACATTGGGTGCAGTCGAACAGAAGACTCTGGCAACTTATTTACAGTTAAGTCAAAATTTGCCCGCAACATACGGTTCACGCAAAGCTGTATGCAGTTTCCTTAGTTGTCGACGAAGAAAACAATTATTTTCTTTACCCTACCATCAAGCTACTTTTACAACCCCTCAGAGTCCAAAGGAGTAACTAGTGTCGATAAAGTGTCCTTTATCACGTTTAACAAGTCATGATTTACAGTCCGATTATTCGAAACTCTATCGGCAAATGGCTCAATCGGATTCGGAAGTTGTCCAAATTGTCGTCTACCGCACGCCTCAGGAGTTAACGTACGTGAAAAATGTGCTACTCGTGTCAATATAGTTTTCTATATTATGTTTAATGTGCAATTGTCGAAAACCCTTTGGGATTTCTCTACTCCATGAAGCATTTGAATGATACAGCATCCTTGGAACCAGATTTACCCGCCTGGGATACTTAGCTGTGCCACAGAAAAATGTGACTACTGAGCCCTACCACCACGACTAGGTGTACCCCATGGTAGGGCACCACTTATAGTAGTTATAATTCATCACGAAATCTTTTAAACTATTTACGCTGGGGTTATGTGTTTATAATTGTCAGGACTGTGACGTCACAGACACCGCCATGACACAAAACAGCGTTTTGGCGCTAGAATAAAAATCTACAATTTAAATTGCATAAATTGGCAATAATATGATTTATTTTGCTGAAATATCATATTTTAAAGTTATAGTAGAGGTATACGAACAGTTATAAATTATAACTGATTTAAAAAAAATTGTTATCTACCCTATTGGCTTAGATGATCTTTATCTTTTAATTTTGGATTTAGTTAAAATTTTGATGTTGCAAGACAGATTTTGTCAATTTATATTCGAAAACCTCGAATTTTAAGGAACAAGCGAGAATTTTTATAAGGAATTGTCACTTATCTAACTGATACTTTACATTGGAAAACACAACATATTTACATAGAAAACGCAATGGAATCTTGCCGTATCTCAGTGCACTCAATTAAGAGCATGATTAGCATAATTATAAAAGAGCAGTTTGTAATTAGGTATAAAAGACAATACCCATGCTGCACTGGCATTCACCTAGTGCCGCTGTACAATGGCGTTAATTTGGGAAATAATCTAACACAATCATACAATTACTAGAAGGATGCAATAAACGAAAAACAAAAGTAATACATCACATGAGTAAATGTCAAAACAACCACAGTAACTATTTCAAACATAAAATTACTGCCCTTAACCGTTGAGTGAAAAATAGTACACTCAACGCCTTAACCAAAACTCACATACATCTGCCCAAAATTTCCCTTTAAGCAAGTCATAGAACAAAATAGTTAACCCGCTTCGAGTCGTGGGTCGATATGGATGTATTACTTGTAAGTATTGTAATTAAATATAATTTATTTCTGCAAGTCATTACATTATTATGACAACATCAAGACACAAGTAACTTGATACTTTTTACATAATAATAATCTATACTATTATACATCTTCCCTCACAAGTTTAGCCTTTCTGGTTGTTTTATAGTTCTGCCTGAACGAGTAGTTAATTTTGTATTTGTCTCTGATGGTACAAATGAGGGACTATGTTTACAAATTTCAGGCTTAGGTACAACACGGACATCACTATCAGAAGATTCAGTGCCTGAACAAGATTCAGGTTCAAATGATGTGTCAGTCACTTTAAATGCGTTTTGTGACGATCTTATATCTACGCGATTTCTTCGTATAGTGTTGCCCTTATAATCCTGTAACACATATGATCGTGGATTCTCATGCATTCTTTCAATTTTGGCGGGTTCCCAAATTTTGCGTTTGTGATTTAACACAGTCACATCACTACCTTCATTAAGTGGTTTTAACGTTTTAGCTGTTCTATTGAAATAGTTTTCATTGAGCTCTCGCTTCTTAAGCATTTTTTGAGTAACACTTTCGCACAACTTAGGCTGTCGTAAATCACAAGTGATTGGAACTTTAGTCTTACAATTCCTGCTATTTAAGAGCTGTGATGGAGAATATCCCATCCCTTTTAATGATGAATTGCGATAGTTCAACAAAGCGCAACTTAATTCGCCTTTGCCTTCCTCTAAAGATTTTTTAAGCAGATTCTTAGCAATCGATACTGCTTTTTCTGCTAATCCGTTTGAACGTGGATATTCTGGACTACGTGTAACAAGAGTAAAATTCCAATCTTTTGCAAATTCCAAGAATTTCTCACTGTTATACGGCACATTATCAGTAAGAAGTATATCAGGGGAACCAAACCTTGCAAAAACTGTTTTAAGTTCACAAATTACAGACTCTGCACATTTATTCTTAATAGGTAAAACTTCTAACCAGTTTGAGTATGCGTCAAACAACACACAATAGCTTTGATTAGCATAAGTAAAAATATCTGAACCTACACGTTCCCATGGTCTTTCAGGGATTGGATATGACAATATATTTTGTTTAGGGTTTTTTCTGGCAAATTTCTCACATATTTTACAACTTTTAATATATGTCTCAATATCTGTTGTAATTCCAGGCCAGTAAAAAACTTTTCTGGCTTGAGATTTTGTTTTTTCCATACCTAAATGGCCTTCATGCAGTAATTTGATCATCTCTAACCTTAGCTTACGCGGAACTACTAACTTATTTTCTAAGAATAACAAATTTTCAGGCACAAACAATTTTTCCTTAAGTTTATGATAGACTCTGATATTATCTGGAATTTTACATTTTTGATCAGGCCAACTATTGTTAATAAAGTAAAGAACTTGACTTAGTTGTCTATCTTTCATTGTTTCATTAGCAAATTGTTGAATTCTGTCTTTGGACATAGGTAGGGTTCGGATAACTGAGTGTACCGCAAACTCTATGTCATTGTCTGTCCGGGGTGATGTTTGTCTCAAAAATGCACGAGACAAAGCGTCAGAGATATACATATATTTTCCTGGCCTATATTGTATGTTAAGATCATATTTCAGTAATTTCAATCGCATTCTTAAAATTCTCGGTGATGCTGACTGAAGGTCTTTTTTAAATATTGCCTCTAACGGTTTATGATCACTATGTATTTTTGTGGGCATGCCATAAATGAAATAATGAAATTTTTTTACAGCAAAAAGAATAGCCAGAGTCTCTTTTTCAATTTGAGCGTAAGCTTGCTCAGTTTTTGTCAAGCTGCGAGACGCAAACGCTATTGGCCTACCTTGTTGCAATAGACAGGCTCCCAGCCCATCTTTAGATGCATCAGTTTCAATTTCGATTGGATATTGTGAATTAAAATAGCACAACACAGGAGCGCTAGTGAGCAAATATAATAAATTATTGAAAGAATTTTTATGCTCATCTTTCCATTCAAAAGTTACATCATTTCTGGTCAAATTTCTCAAAGGAGCAGTCAATTTGGAAAGATTAGGTATAAATTTTTCCACGTATTTTACCATCCCTAAGAATCTTAAAACATCAGCCTTGCACTGTGGAAGAGGCATTTTTAAAATTGCTTCAATGTATTTTTTGTTTGTTTCTATGCCTTTCTTTGAAAAAATCTGTCCCATAAATTTGATACTCTCCTTTTTGAACTGTATTTTGCTTTTGTTGAATTTTATATTATATTGAGATGCTCTTTCCAAAACACCCTTCAAATTTTGGTCGTGTTCAGCTTCTGTGGATCCAGTAACAATCAAATCATCAAAATATAAACCCACTCCGGGTAAGTCACCAAAAACCTCAATATTTTTTTTTGAAATACCTCAGGTGCTGAACACAGCCCAAATGCTAGTCTCTTAAATTTGTATCTCCCAAAAGGAGTACCAAAGGTCATTAAATCAGAACTATCGTTATCTAGCTCAATTTGCCAATAACCGTCTTTCATATCTAGTACGGTAAAGACATTCTTTTTAGATAAGTTTACAGCAATGTCATCACAAGAAGGAATCAAAAAATGTTCCCTCTGGATAGCCTGATTCAAGTCCCTGGGGTCAAGACACAATCTTAGGTCACCATTTGTTTTTTCAACAATCACCAACGGATGTACCCATTGTGATGGTTTATCAACCTTTTCAATAATACCCTTGGACACAAGATCACACAACTTATTCTGTAGTGGTTTTAACAAAATATGTGGGACACGCCTAATTGCATTTATTTTAGGCTTAGCATTTTCTTTCAAAGTTATGTGATGTTGTGTAGGAAACTTTCCTAACCCTTCAAAAACATGCTTATACTTACTAATCACATCATCTATAGATCTAAACAACTTTTGATTTGTTACTGAATCTAGTCTTTTTAGTAACTGTAAGTCTGAACATTCTTGCACTCCCAGAAGAGGAATTTGATCTGCAGCCTTCACCACTATAAATGTTACTTGTTGGTGACAGTTTTTTACAACACAATCTAGTTGAACTTCACCTAAAGTTTTCAATTTAAAGTTCGGGTCGCCATATGACATTAACGTAATATTACTCTTCTTAATTACGGAATTTGGTGCAACTTTCTTCAGAATACTTAAAGGTAATGTGCTTACCTCTGCCCCAGTATCTAATTTAAAAACAACAGGTTGTCCATTAACTAGCACTTCTTTCGTCCACATTGTTTCGGAGTTCTGGTGTTCTGATTTCCTTCCAGACACTGAGCTTACGTAGAACTCAAATTCGCTACTGGTTTCACTACTGATATCGGATTCTGTATTCTTCTGTTCAATTTCCTTCAACACATTATGTACTCTCTTCTTATATTTCTTACTTGTGGGAGGATCAGGATCCCTTTTTCCACTCATACTAGAACACACTTTGGCGAAATGATCGCGGCCTTGACATTTGGCACATGTTTTTCCTATAGCTGAACACCTATTGGGAAATTTGTGCCAGTATCCACACATTTTACACGTTTTCTTCTGATTACCTAAAGTAGTAGTGGCTCGTACAGCATCTACTTTAGTTTCATTATCTAGGATTTTCACTTGATCTTTGCTCGTTTCTGTCGCTCTACAGAAATTAATTGCTTTTGTTAACGTAAGGTCAGCTACTTGCATTAATCTCTCCTTACTAGACGTCTCTCTCAATCCTATAACAATTCTATCACGAATCATTTCATCCTGATCTTTATATCCGGTAGTTTTGACAGCTTTCCTAAGTTCCGTCAAAAAACTATCAAACGATTGTCCCTCCTTTTGACATATTGTGTTAAATTTTGCCCTTTCAAATATGACATTTCGCTGTGGCGCACACTGATCATCAAATTTCTTCTGGATTTCCGCTAGGATCTTTTCTTTGCCTGCCTCAAACGTAAAACTATTAAACAAATCCAGTCCGTCATCTCCAATTAACGACAAAAAACATGCGATCTGCACATCCTCATCTTTACTGTCTAGGTTTGTTGCCTTTGAAAACAACGTAAACTTCTGAGAAAACCTCTTCCAATTCTCAGATATATTTCCATCTAAGACAAGCGGGTCGGGTGGTTTGAAATAATTTTCCATTTTGGCACTATAAACGGCACTTTTTATCAAGGTCAAGCAAAATCCCAGACTAAAATCAAGCTTGAAAATTACTATTCATATACCTATACGCCTTCACTACGCAGGTTCACTGGCTACCTGACACCATGTATTACTTGTAAGTATTGTAATTAAATATAATTTATTTCTGCAAGTCATTACATTATTATGACAACATCAAGACACAAGTAACTTGATACTTTTTACATAATAATAATCTATACTATTATACAATGGATCATTAACTTCCCTCGTATAGCATAATCTTTGGCACTTATATTAGCGCATTTCCACAAAAATTATAAAAAAATGCGCTATTGTGGCCACTTTGTCCGTCTGTCCGCTCGTTTTGCGACGCTACTAGTTCTTTATCTTAAGAGCTATTGTTCTACTTTTTCCGCTATTTGGTTCATTATGGTGTCGAGTCTTGTACCAAGGAAGGAATTTTTTCTGTACCGCTTACAAAAAAAGTTATACTTATTGTAAAAAAAACAAAAAACCGTTTTTTACATGTTCCATAATTTTACACTTTTGCCGTTTATTAACGATCCTAGAGATCGTTTATAATTTTGCATTGCTATCTGTCGTCTGCCTATTGGACTGTCCGTCTGTTCCTTTGTCTGTCTGTCCATCTATCTGTCCGTGTGAACGATAACTTTGTTTAGAAATGTCCGATCGCTTTTACATCTCCGTTAGTTATGAACTGAATTGCATGAAATTCAATATCTTATTTAGAAAAGCATTGAAATGAAATTCTTCTCATAAACTGAAATTGAAGTAGCACGTCAAAAATGGATTGCCCATGTGCAACGCTATCTTTCATATTTGTAGCCGGATTTTTACGATTTTAATAGAAGTTGCATCTTACAAATGGGAAATGAATGCAAGTGGAAATGCGCTTTATGTAAATCGTTTACGATTACTTTTTAACTTGTTGTAAATGGGGGTTTACAGTGTAGTTGAATTCCGCAGTTCTAATGTAATAAGCGTGTACCTGAAACCATAAAACATTTTTTTGGACAGTAAAAGTTTATTTAAAAATAGAGGCTGATTAGCAAAAAAATAAGGAACATGTGCGGTTTTAAAGGTTTATTCAAAACGATATGATTGTGGCGGGCTCTGTGACGTAATAAGCCCGACCAATCAGCTCCTAGAACCATTCAGATGACATAACGACTTGGCAATATTGCAGGAGAATGGCATTTATAACTTGCGTCATCTGTCACAGGCACTTGTCACTTTCGTGCTAGATTCAGTTAAACATCCCTCTCAAAACGTCAAATGTGACAAACGTCAGACCCTCGCGTAAGGTTGCCAGCTCACTTCTACGTGATTGGTTGTAGGTTTGTGACGTATTTAGTCTGAAGCGTTTCAAATTCGGACTAAAAACACAGCTTTTCAATAATTAATTTTGGGTTTATTTTACTCGCAAATAAAAATTGAGGACACACGGGTCTTTTTATTTTTAATGTACTTTGTGGATCAGAAATAAAAAATGAAGGCGGGATGACCCCATTATGGCCCATTTGAATGTAGGACAAAGAAAAAAAACACTGTTTCAAGGAGATGAAACAAATTAATTCCTGCGATTTGTATCACGTTGGAATTCTGATCTCTCCTTATTTCCTTTTAGAAAATACAACCGTAAAATATTCTGTTCGAAAATTTGGTTGAAAAGCAACTCTCCCAACAGGACTTACTTGTAGCTGCTTTCTTTTGTAAAAGTTCTTCCGGTAACTGAAGACTAATAAAAAATAACTTCAAATTAACTTTTATTGCTTACAATTACTACATTTAATAATAAAAAAACGTAAAATAAATTCCTTAAATTTAGGCAAAATGCTAATAATGTTTACTTAACCCAAGAGAATCCCGCAATAGTTGATTTCTTAATTCCCACAAAGCATTGACCACGTCCTCCTGTTGATTGTATTTTTTTCCCAACCATGTTGCAACATTGTTAATTTTTTCGGGATCAGGATTAGTCACAGTTTCCTGAGTGGCGTTTAAAGTTTTTTCCCAAGATGTTATATACTTGTTATCTGACTGCAGGCCTTCTATATACCTAAAACCCACACACTTTATTTGAAGAAATTCTAAGACCACTTATTACTTAATGTATGCTTCAGAATGCAGAACACGTTGTGGTCTCGGAGGTACAGTAATAAACATCGGTTCTTGAGGCTTCTGAGTAACGGCTACAGTAGATGAAACAGTTGCTAAAATTTTGCAATTTTAAAATATTGATATACAATTCAAGAAAAACCTATAATGAGAAATGATTTACCTGTAGCATTAGTAGATATGGTGCATGTGTTAGATGTCAAGTTAAACGTATTACTAACTGCTGTTGTCGGAATGCGTTAAAAGAAGATGATTTATTAATTGTGCAAAATATGAATGATCATGAAAAGTTCTTGATTGCAGATAATAAAATAATAATTGTTGCATGATGAAATTGAAAATTTGGGCACAAAAAATGTATTAGTATCAGCAATCAAGAAAAAAAGCACTTAATAAATCCCAAAATGCACTCACGAGTATTGGAAGTAGTGGAAGGCACTGATCGAGCAATAGGTGCTGGTTTGCTTGAAGGCTTGAAGTTTCTACATGAAATAATATAGCTTACTTATCTTCTTACACAACATTTAAAAAATTGTATTAAATCAAACAATGTGATATATTGTAACCTGAACTCAATATAAGTTAAATATACCTGCTACGTTCCGCTGGGGGCACCACACGACCGTTTCCCTTATTAATGTGCATATCACGAACATGTCTAATCAAACGTGATATATTTGGAAACGGTTGTACATTTTTCTTATTATGTCTGCCGCAATTTCTCCACTGACAATTTAATTCCGCATCAGGATTTGCATGAAAATAACTTTGTACATGTCCCTGTGATTCTTTATCCTTAACACAATGCTCAATACAATCAGAAATTTCCTCAAATTGATAGTCACAAGTATCCCACATACATTCATAAATCTGGAACAAGATAATCATCTGAATGTAAACTACAATAAACCTTAAGAGTTAATATCTAAAGCGTTCTTTAATCAAAAATTAAAAAAAGTTAACAAAAAAAACCAAAAGATAATTTTAAAAACATGGATGCTACACATCATGCGTTACCATAAACACTCATCAATGTATCCTTAATTATGCAAATTAAACTCACATAGTCTGCAGGAGGAGCAGACGGAGCGGCAGGAGCAGGAGCAGGTGGAGGTGGAGGACTTAAACGTCCTTCCGCACGAAGTATAGCCTTGATTTCTTCATTTCGTTTTGAAGCCTTTTCCTCCCATGTTTGTTTTTCACTTGCGGGTAATGAGCGCCATTCATTACCTACTATCCTACTGATGCCCCCAAAATTAGATTCAGGATTATTTTGTACCACTCGTTTCCGAACATCACGAGAATATAGAATGTACCCCGTCACTATTTTATTCTTGTTAGACTTCTGTAGGTGAGAAGGGGTTTTACTTTTCGTTATTCTGACTTCAATAGGTTATTTATTGCAAAATGTTGTAGTTTTCTTTATAACCACTTTTAATGTTAGTAAACCCATCAACAAATTGTGTCTTACTCCAATGCTAAACTAGATTCAGAAAGTCAATTAGAATGGATCAAGAATATTGACTTTTTGAAACATAGTGAAATCCCACAAGTTCTTTCAAAGTAAAAGGTAATTTAGTCTAATGTTTATGCACTATGCTGACGAAGAAGAAGCGGCATATCCCCAAACCAAGTATGAAGAAAATTCTACCCAGTATGTCACAACATTCAAGCGTATATAGACCAAGAGTTTTTCTGATTATAAAAGAACCTAATTAGATTATATAGGAAACAATGAAAATTACATTCATTTATACTGTATCTCAGTAGAACAAAGACTGCTGTTATGTAAACAAGCTGGCAATTGCAACAATCACGCTGTTGGTTGATTAAAACAAATTGCTTGGCTAAAAATTGTTAAATCAGCACTCTAGTTTTACACCCATGGAATAATTTATTATCAAAAATACAATAATACACAATAAAACAAAAAGAATTAAAAATAAAGTAACGAAACAAAATACAACAATATCTACAGGTCGCTTACACACACACCACATGCACATAGCTTGTTGTAATATTAGGCATCTTACCTTTTTTGCAGAAGACGTTGACGGCGTTGTAACGTTTGAGGGTGCGGACGTAACCGTGGTCGGTATTTCACCTGAACCTACCGAGGGTGGTCCTCCGTCTAGTGAATCTTCAATTAACACTTCCATTTCTGTCATTTTAGCCGTGGGCAAACTCTCCTAAAATAACTCCGAATTTGTTTATTCGAGTAAGCTATAAAGGCAGCAAAATAAAGCTTTAAACATAGCACCCAAAACACATTATCTACTGCATGACGAAAATGATTCAAAATGTAGGTGAAATGATACATGTATATGTTAACAAATACAATGGAGACACAATAAATTAACTTCACCAAAAATTAATTTGTAGTTTACGGAAACAAGTCAAGGCTTATTTCTTCAGAAGAGTTTCAAATACACATCACAGAAATATTGACATAATAACCAAGGGTGGTATCAGTTCTGCTGGTGTACTTTTGTAATATGTCGTGAAATAAGGTTGAGAGTGCTGCTTTTGTTTTCATAGGTACTAAAACATTTAAAGTTTTCTTTGAATATGAATTGTAAATGACCCAAGAATGTAATGTTGGAATATGGATAAAAATGTGCTTGATTTAGCTGTTGTAGATAACGCATCTGGTTGGTACAGATAAGACATGTTATTTATGAGGAAAATGTTTTAATGTCATATAAAACCAATACACATTACATAACTGAAAACGTTTCTATATTTCATTGGAAAGTAAATTGTATTTTATTTAAATATTTTTGGAGAAACAATATTGGTTGATTGTAAGTGTATATTAACATTATTATGATGCCGGTGAATTTGGATCATTGTTTAGAACCTACTGAATATGTTATAAACCGCCAGAAGTGATTACAGTTACGTTATAACTTACAGTTATATACCTGAAAAAAATGAAAAATCAAATTACATATTATGATAATAAATAATAATAAACCCCTAAAGAGGATCTATAATAGCGGCAGGGCACCTAGGTGTGACTCTAAGGGATCATTGGATTTGACCGTTATCATCTTCACGGACAGATTGACACCATCGACTCACGTTGTTCTGCCGCTTAATAACACAGTTTGATTAGAAAATATATTCAGAGATGGCGACCGCAAAAATTTATTTTATTTATATGGTAAGAACTACGTTAATCAAATTCATGTAGTTCAATTGGTTTCATATTTACGGTTTTTCTCAGTATAAAAATTTTGGATAGCTAGGTTCCTAAGTTTGTGACGTAGCACTCCTCATCAGAAAAATATGCTTAAGAACAAAGAAAATTGTATGTGTATGCACAGAAAAAACAAGACATTATTGCATGACGGTACCTGTTGCTGTGCATGGGACTAAATGGTAAAGTGATCACAGGTACTGTGAAAAATGCTCAAGAGAAACCCAATTTGTCACATTACAAATTTATCGTACCTCCATTATTCCACCCATTAGTGTAACTAATGAAGCTCCTCTTTTAAATAAGTAGTATAAAAAAATTACTCACAACTTCAATTACAGAAGAGTTTTGCGGTTTGATGATATCAGGTTGTAATTGGGCAACATCGCTGCCCACCTGTAACACAGCAGTTTCATACCAGACACACAGTTAGCATAATATCACACACGTGCAAACAGTACACTAACTACCAATTTATACAGCTACTACAAAATTTTGCTCTGTCAAAGAAGAAAAAATAATTCACTTGCACTAAACGCCAAATGAGAAGACTCTTCAAGCAGCTCAACTAAACAAGAGGAAAATGTATTTAAATTACTCCATAAGTGTAACCCAAATTATAAGAATATGTACAGTTCACTATTACCGATATAATCTCAGATGTTTTACAACATGCAAACACAAATATAATGAAGCTCACAATTATGTTCAATCAAAACTCGATCAATTCTCAATTGACTAGTCTACTTCCATATTAATTACTATTTGAGTTTAGTATGAAAGTGTAATGGTTAAATGCAATATTATAAACAAAAAGCAAGAAGCAATACTATTACTGTGGGATGCAACAATAAATACCTTCGGGGGATTAATCAGTTTTGGGAAATAATAAATTTCATCCTCTGTAACGGCGCTGCTGTGCAAAAAACGTTTTAATCCATCTGGGGGTAGTCTACGAACTTGTCTATTTATTTCATCATACATCGATGTGCAGATGTAAACATCGCTTTCTGCAATTTCTGTAATACGACCTAAGGTGAAATGTGTTAGTCCACCTAATTTTGACGCAAAGATAACACTTACAAGAGATATAGTCGTTATAGTCTAATACACAACATTTGCCCACAATACTAACGAGGGGATTTGTGTCTTCAAGACTAGATAGAAATACTTCTTGTTTATAAAATAGTCTGTTTGGTGAGTGAGGTATCTCTGGAGGTGTAACAAACCATGGCCCACGAAAGTAACATTTTCCACTGTAAAAAAAAAGTGTACCTTATACTCTAGCACAAAAAATGTGCTATAATTTTCAATTTTGATAAATGTATTACAAGTTTAGTTGCAAACGTGATATATGTTTAAACTTTCATAAGTATGCTGAAGAAACTCCAGCACTAGCTTATCTGACAGATCAGGTAGAATAAAAATGTAATTTCCACAATCTTCTACTAACTTGACACAGACAACCTGAAGTGCTAATCTCAAGACACTACTTCTGTCAGCCTAACTAGGTGGTTGAGTTAAATACACCTTTGATTCATGACCGGGTGTAATTTCCAAGAGCTGGTATATGAGTAATGACTAGCAGAAGGGTGGTCATCCTCTAACCACTACTCTCAAGTGAAAGTAAGCCTGCATGCTGTAACTTGCGAATCTATCTTCTCATAACGGACGTTTTCACACACGGCATAGGTATATTACATCTGAATTAGGTAGGTTTACCTAGTATCTACAATCGATAGAACAGAATAAGTATGTACTAAACCATACGAACAGTAGTACATTGTGGTTAGTATACTCATTACACCAAGAATCCTCTATGTCTACCAGCTACCGTCTACCAACCACAATGCAGCACTGTTCGTATGGTTTCCCACATACTTACTCTGTTGCATCAATTGGATATACTATGTAAACATACCTAATTCAGATGTAATAGACCAATGAAATACAAAAAAGTTTTCAAGATATCATGAGAAAAACCACTCTCCCAAAGACGGAGAACAATTATAAAACCAATAATAAATACACTATTATACAAGGTGTGACATATAAGTTCCTACAACGAAAGGGCGCACCGCTAAACAGGGTTGGGAACAATAATTCCGATTTCGACGAAATTTGATATCTGGGGATTTTTCAAAATGAAAATCACGAGACTGAAAGTTTTTGAAAATTAAAAAAAAAATTCCACTGCAATTCTTGGCCGGACAACGAAAATGCAGAGAATTCCACCAAATTTGTTGTGTACATACTTGATGAGTGATGGAATAAAACTGTCGAACAGTTTTTAAAAATCACTTTTCAAGAAAAGTTATACTCGTTTGAAGATTGATCCTTCAGGTCAGAAAGTGTCCCCCGCCTACTAGTGAGTCATCCAATTGAAGTTAGTTAAAAATGTCGCAAATAACCAAAACTTAATTTAAAACAGAACGTACTTTCCGGATGAGTGAAATAAAGAAAATGTGCCACAGTTTAATTTTCTTCGTTCGTTCAACTTTTAAGTAAGGGTCAACTATGTGTTATAATTCCTCATAACTTATCCTCTCAGACTCCTGATCAAGATCAGTTATAATTCCTCATATCTTGAGAACCTAAGAGTACTCACAAAGTGAGAATGCAATGTACAGATAGACACAGAACGAAATGCCATGGGGGATATTATTCAGAGAGGACGATTGGAACATCTGGACAAGACATATCTACTTTAAGTGTGAATATCTCGAGAATCAGGGGTCGAAAGAGAGTATTCACAGAGAGAAAATAAAAAATCTGGAGACGTACGATGCCGCCAAGCGCAGAAAATTTCCGGAAAATATGCGAAATAATTTTGATATAATTCCAACTGGCGAATCAATTTTGAGGACTGATCTTGACAATCAACTGTAGACCCCGAACGACGTGCGAGTGATATATCTCGGGGGCGAGATTAGACTAATAAAAACTCTTCGGTTTAGAATCTATGTGTGATATATCAGTTGTGATTCAGTGATTTCCACATATTTTGTAATAACATTGAATTTGCCCTACAAGGCCATGTAATTTTCCATCTTGCTCTTAACAGAAGGATTTTATAGCACCAAAGATGAACACATTCTGTGCATTTCACTCTTTCTCAGGAGCTTGGTGACCTGCTGACCTGACCCATTGTTCCAAAAACTTGTTTTTAACGTGTACGCTACATATCTTGTTAACATTGTTATCATTTTATGTTGCATTCACATTATTACAAACAATTAATTTTGCTACACAATTTAATATTTATTTGTGGGCTGGTTTTTTCTTGGGAAGTTCTTTTTTTCCCAGTCTATTTCTTTTTTTATTCGATGAACTACCATTTCCAAAGTTTTCTTGCAATATAATTTATTTCGACTAAATTTCACAATCCTGATAATAATAACGATTATTTATTTCGGTGTTTTATTTTACGTTCCTTCCTAATGGTACTTCCAAGTCATAGCGTTGTTTACAACTAAAGTAAAAGGACCCTGCCTTAGATGTTTTCTCACGTGTCACTTTTTGATTTCAAATTTAGGCAGGATATGTTTAGAACTTGTACACACTTACTCTTTTGTATCCCAAATAGTATCAATCTGGGCAATTGTCTGTCGGCCACCATCAGCTGCGACATAGACAAAGTCACCGGTTTTAACCACCCCACTACAAATTGTGTTGTACTGTTCATAGTAAGTATTTCCATCATCAACCTCCATGCTGGCGAATGCGACAACATTCTAAAAAAAAATTTACCTACCTAAGCTCCACCTACATTTCAACTTACCGGCTTTTCCTTTTCTAGTAGCTTTTCCTGTTCCTGTAACTCTGCCAGTTCGTCCTTATGCTTCTCTACCCTTTCTCGAAATACGGACATAACTCTTTTGGGTTCCAAAGGAACTTCACGCGGAATAAGAGTAATTTCATTATTTTCTGGGAATATCTTCATTTTTTTGAAGCTTCTAGTTTTGGTACTATACCGAGACTCGCAAACGTATACGTCCTTTTCGTCAAACCCTACAAATAAAAGTTTTTAAAATGGGTTTGAACTAGTTGCGATGAAGAACCTTCAGGTCTCATTGTGAAATAATGTTTGATATTCATTATGCAACACCTCTCTCGAACCTCCTCTAATGGAACGGCAATATGAGTGTCGGATTTAAAAACCTCCTTTTCCAAAAATTTACGCGTTGTCACATGGTAAGTTTCTATAGGCCTTAAATAATAATTGCCATACAGCATCTTTTGACCTTCATTATTAGTCCACAATCTTTCTATGAATAAAATGTGTGGATCGACGCCCTTCTCCTTGGAGTCCATATAAACATATTCACCAACTTTAAATGTTTGCTGATTTACAGTCATCGAATCGCCCACATTACTGTTAGGATCACGAATAAAGGAGTCGTCAGAACTGCGCGTTTCACTCTCCTCCTCTAAGGACTCCTGCATCATTTTTGCGTGACGTGTAGATTCAATTGAAGCTCTCAAGTGCATTAACGAGTAATTGGCTGCGGGAGTTTGAAGAAGATCTGCATGTTTACATATTTCATCGCGTTGCTTTATGAAATATGATTGTAATTCGATGGAGTCTTCAAAAACTTGCGAATCGGACCTTGATAAGAGGCGTGCGCGATCGAAACATGCAAACATATCATCTTGAAACGTATCTAAACGCCTATACAAACCCTTATCCAGTCTTCTTTTTATTAAGTCCAACGAAAGTGCTCGAACCCTACAAAAAGCGCTATAGAACAAAAAAAACACAGGAGTGGTCTTACTTTTTTCCATCGACTTCGTCATGCTCAGGAAGTTCGGCCATTGAATCCGAGTAGCAGCGTTCCTCCGCATCCTGATGGTTATACACGTTAGTAAAAAGATTCAGTAATAGATCTTGAATTGCTGCAGGAACATCAGGAACGGTATCATCGTCCTCTTTGAGTTGCAATTTTGTTTGCAAACAGACACGTTGCAGAATTAATGCGTCTTTATAAATCTGTGAATCAGGTTCATTATACTTGCATCCATTGTCGAACATAACATTAAAGTCGTTCACTAAATCGTCTAAAGTTTCGTAATAATTTGCTTTAACCCTCTGCGAAATTTTCTCCATATCAATCGGACTTTTTATTACTTCATAATAATCCGGATAATCCTAAAAATAGATCATAGTAACAAGTTATTATAAAGTACAGCCCTACTAGTTTCGATGGTAATTTCATAAATATTTGTGACAGTTGGCGATTTAGTTTTGGTTCTTTATAATCTCGAATAGTTTCATATAATGTTCTACAGTTTTTCTCAGTTGGGGTTTGAATCTTGCGTGGACGTGCTCTGCAACATGGGAATCAGGTAAACAACAATTGTGTAAAATAAGATGCGTACATTCGAGGTACAGTTTTCCTCTCATGTTTTTCGACTACCACTGGAATGGGTTGACCAATTTTTTCAGTCAAGACCCGCTCGAGTAAATTGGCATCGTCATAAATCGTTGAATTTTCTTCATTGTATTGACGACAATTTGCAAACATGAGTTTAAAATCCTTAACCAAATCGCTTTCATTGGAGTACTGTTCGGCTCTTATTTTTCCCTCTATTTCCAAAAAGTCAATCGGTTCTGCAATCACCTCGTAATAATCAGGATATAACTTTTTCGACGGTTTCTCCATGAATGCCAACATCGGTTTTCTGCCATCCTCACACTAACGAGAAAAATTTTACATAATGTATACTGAACATGAACAAATTAACTTGAATTAAATAAATGATTAATAAAACATACCACATAGTCTAACATAAACTTCGCAAGATTATGCAAGCGCCTTTTTAGAGGAACGGAGTCCTTTGGCGGACGTCCCCGGCCCGGTGATATGCCCATTAATAATTTTGATTTCACGCCAGGTTTCCTTCTTACCTTGTCTTCATTATCTGCATCACTGTCTGTATCCTACGAGTATAAACGAAATTGGAAAAACAAAACGGCATGGCACAAATGATATATAAGCAGCTATGCTTAATAAATACAAATCAAAAATACTGTAAAATGATAAAAGAAAACCACCTACAAAAATATCGATTATCGAAAATGTTCTAAAGTAAATGAAAGAATAGTAGAACATGAGATGAGTGCGATTTAAAGAAAAACTAAGTTAAATGCGAAAAAAGGTACACCACCACACCTAATCATGTTCATGTAACCATTCAAATTTGTTTTACCTGTAAAATATAACGTAACTACGAAACAAATTACAATCTCTAATAGGAACATGCTTCAAATAATAAAGCAACACATAAAGCTGTGCAGTAGCATACCTTTCGATTTTTGTTAGTGACTCTGTGTGTTACCTGATCTATGTCAAGTAGTTCTTGAACTTTCATTTGCATCACTTTTTGAAGCTTTACTGCATCCTGGAACACAAAGTTTACTTACTGTCAGTAAAGTTTTATAATAGTTGCATATTTGTTTCATTTTTTTCATACTAATTTTATAGTAATTATGTTGCCATTTAAACATTCACTATAGGTTCAGTGGAAGAGAACTGAGTAATTTTCAGTATAAGCTGAACCATAGTGTAAGAATAGAATAGTGAAACAACCTTACGGAAAAAAAAGGTAACCGATTTGGACATCGAGATTTTTTAGTTCTGGACGCGGCAATCTGCAAGGGGGGCGCAGAAGTCGTGGATTTTAAAAGTAACCGATGTTACAAACTCTTAACAATAAATTGCCACTTGGCGCTACACTAGAATAGATGGCGCGTTTTGCAAAGCGAATTACAGAAGGAATATTATACCTCCTTTTATCTCATTTTTATGCGTAAGAAAAATAAAGAGGTAAATTAATCCATGCAAACATCCCGACAATAATGCTCCTTTGTTATTACATTCTCGAGTACGTCAACTGAGTCATCACATTCTACAGATCGTTTAAATAACCTACCTTAATATTTCAAATGTTAGGTACACTACTTAAATCGCATACGCTCTCATATAAGTACTTATAGTAAAACTACGTTTAAAAGTTCACTGGCCACAAATTCGTATTTTTGGCGCATGTATTTTATGTTTTTCCTCCGAATATATGAACGTTTAGAAGTAAGCAATTAATAATTTATAGTTCTACACGTGGCAAAATCATCTAGATATGCTATGTACTAGCATAGGTACTAGCACAGATTTAGAGTGTTTAAATCTGTGGTACTAGGTAGTCACGTTGTGGGAAATTCGCAGAATACAGACTGTAATTTAGGTACCTACTCATTATTAGTGAAACAATAATACAGAATTTTTTGATGAACGCACGCAAAAAAATTCATTCGTGTTATTTAATTTACAATGTGCGAACAATTTAATAGCTGTAGGCTCTTCTGAACTTGACAATTTTATTTCGAGTTATGCATCTGGATGCCTCCCACAAAGTTCAAACAAAACCTTAGAACGAGTTTTTTGAGGAGGGTCTTCTTTAGGCGGTTCCAGGGCGGTTCTCTTTGTGCCAAAGGTGAACTTCTTCTGAATATCATCAGTAATCCTACAGTCTTATTACTTAATCATTAAATTAGCTCCCCCAAAAATTAATACAAAAATAAGAATTGCCAAATATGAAATCACAACTTACTCCAATATTATTTATACATAGCTCAATCTTATTATACGGGGTGGTGACTTGACGAACGCACCATAGGAACTTCAATGGTAATTTTTTAATTTCCGATTATTGGCTCCCGTAATTATTTTAGAAATAAAGTCTATTTAGGTTTCTTGTAGAGAAAAAAATTGCGAATCTGTAGATACTATTGTTTTCTATTTTATAAATTCAGAAACAGTAAAAATTTAAAAATCAAAAACTGACGCGTTTATAAAGTCTGTAATGCCATGGAATTATGAAATCAAACAAAAGCGCCTGCATTTCCCATTAGCGCCATCAGTGAGCTTTGTTTGATCGCAAAACTACCATGGCACCACTGATTTGCTTAAAAGCGCCAGTTTTTAGTTATCCAATTTCTTGGTTTTAAAGTTCAAAAAATTAAAAGCCATAGTATGCATGTATTCCTAATTTTTTTCTCTACAAAAACCCTAAATAGACTTTATCTCTAAAATAATTAGGGAAGCCAATAATCAGAAATGAAGAAATTACTATTGAATTTCCTATGGTGCGTTGTTCAAGTCACCATCCCGGTATATGCCTGCGATCCTGCACTCTGCTCAGAACAAAACTACCGAAAAAGTTCTTAAAATAGTCATTTTCCTATTTTAAAGATAGTTGCAAATCTTTATCACAAAAAACTTTAGTGCCATTGAAGGGACACCCCATATTTTACACAGAACTTAAATTCTACGTGAACTATACGTCTCTACATACGGATTTTTTTCGTATTCCTCAGTTTCAAAAGCAAAAATTTTGCATAGTTTTCTTATTATTTATATGTTCCCGACCTTACAAACTGCAGGAAAACCTAATTCGGAGTAGCCGGCAGAATACTCGAAACTGATCTAAGGAAATTCTTACCTCGGACTTAGTCAGAAATGGGAATACAGCCGGAACCGACAGACAGACCGACATCATTGAGATTTTGTTTGATTCGGATTTCTGGTGTATTTCCGTCAAAAAAGTAGAGGTAGTTTTTTTTATCCCAATGCAATACCTCCCTCACTAACGTGCGGGTGGTAATAAACCTCCATAAGTATCGTACTTGTAGCCCGAGCGTACGCGCTTGCTTTGACATGAGCTAACCGATTTGTCTGTTTAATGTCGACAAACTGTAGCCCTTAGTTAACTGTTTCCGAACACGGAATTCAAAAATTCGCCCATGTTTCCGAATTATGGCGCGGTAAAAAGGACAGACACAAACGATAAGAAACCTACAGTATACACTGTGTCCAAGATAAAAATGTTTATCATAGAGATCTACGAAACTATAGAAGGTATGACGATAGTCAATTTGAGGAAAAGTTGCACAAACCAGGTATTTATCATGCTTTAAAGAAAACCAGAAAATTCCTATTACTTCCGGTTCCAAAGATATGCCGGACAAACCCAAATTTCCCAATTTCGTTTCCTTTTTTTCTGATGTTATTTGAACAGATACAAACAAGTATAAATTGTGCACAACTCTTGTGCAGATAAAGCGCATTTTTTTTAAACCGAAATAGTTTTTGTTAACACTGGCAATGACAAAGTGCTTGTTATTTTTTTGTATCTATTCAAATGCCATCAGAAAAAAATAAAACCGAAATCGGGAAATTTCTGTTTTTCTGACATCGGAATTTCGTATTTCAGATCATTTGGCGAAATTTTTCATAGATTTGAATGGGAAATATTTTAACCAGTTTTTAGAAAAATTACAACTATCAAGTTCACAGGAAAGGAGATTAAAAGTCTGTGAACAAAAATAATCAAATGTGTATATACAGAATTTATTGTAATCTTATACTGGATGACATCATCGCATGTGCTCATGAACAATAGCTTCATTGTCCTGTGTACCTTGCTGTAAAAGAGCGGTAGTTTATTTATCATTCATGTTGCAGATTTCTGTACAGTACTAGCGTTGAGTAGCGTAATCATTTCGAGAAAAGAATCTGTATTTTTTTACAGACAATCTTTAGTGGATGGTAATATTGACACGCGCGCGACATCTATAACTCTTAAATAAGCGGTTTCCAAAACGTACATGGAGGTTGTCTCACTATTCTATTCTTTACACTAAGGCTGAACTCTGCCCTTTGTTGAAAAAGAACTATAAACCGGTAAATAGAAAAAAAGCAGCAAAAAGACTGATGAGGAAATAATACACTAGTAGAATGGGGACATGAACAAAACTTTCTTACGTTAGTACAGGATACGTTAGGAAAGATTCTTTATCATCAACTCCTCCAATTCTCTTAAATGATGTGTGATTCTATGACATAAATCTCCGTATTTATTCTCATAAAATAAAATAAAGCAAAAGAGAAATAGTATAGTATGGTCCAATAAAAAAGCTGAACAGAGAAAAGTTTTTACAGTAATCTAAATTAATCCCTGAGGTCGTTGTTAAGGGAGTTAAGTAAATAAACATAGATAATTACTGTTATAAACTAAATCATTATTTTGACCTTTGGAACTTGTTTTGGTCTAAAATTAACAGGATGTACAGTAAAATGTTGGAACTTCTCCAAATTACTTGACCTCACAGATACTTACTTTGTATAATTTCGAGGATGGTAAATTGTACTTCTTCGCATTTTCAAACATAATTGTCAAATCACCAGCAACTTCGCTTACTGTGCCGTACGAACACTTGATAAGCTTTCGTCGTATTTGGGTTAAAGATACAGGATTTTTAATTTCTTTATAATAATCGGGATAAAATTTCCGCGACGGTAATTTCCAAAAAGGTTCATGCAATGGCATACCGGAACTGCTTGTAACATTTTGTACTGCATCAAACAGTTGCCATTGCGGGTTATCGGAATCAATTGGGTCAACAGTTTCCTGCTACAAAATGTAATTAAAAGCACTACATTCCCAATGCAAATGTTACCTCTTCCTCCATTACCTCCTCTTGATCATCTGACTCGGATTCTTCATCTCTCAAAGCTGCGGTAACGGCCGACAAAGTAGTGCTCCCACGTAACCTTTTATTGCGAATGCGTTCGCTAGTTTTAGTACCTACGCCGGTAAATTTTCCATGCTCAATGTCAATCTTTCTAGTGCTAATTATCTACAAAAAACACGTTTCATTTACAAGTACACAACACACCCTCACCTTCTTCATTGTTTTTGCATCTTTATAAATTTGTGATCCGGGTTCGTTAAACAAACAGGCATTTTTTGTCATTATCAAAAGATCCTTTTCAAGCTCATTCAAGTGTGTATAATCCCCATTTTGAATTTTAATAGCAACCGTCCGTAAATCAACAGGAGTTTCAATGATCTCATAGTACTCGGGATATTTTTTCTTCGACGGTAATAATTGGAAAGCTGTATGGAGAGGCCTATTGTCTGTATCCGTCGCAGTCATAACAGAAGTGAAAAGTTCTTCATAGGGGTTCATATCTTCATCCGGATTGGTTGAGGTCTCTGAGTTATCTTCGGACTGATCGGTTTCCACCTTGCGTTCGGCAGCAGCGGCTGCTTTACGAGCCAGTTTTCCTACTTTTAGAATTATTTTACCTTTTGGCTCCTCATCTCCATCTTTGCAATCGAATAATCTGCAAAGTACATTATTACTTCTAACAATTGCAAAAAATGTCTCACATAAAGGTAGCATGTTAATGTTAATCCCAAAAAATTTTAAAATATTGTACTAAGAGTCCTTTGAGACCCTGTAGACGTAAACAGTAATTGAAAATGTAAACTGTAACCAAGGGGTCATCCACTACCTTAAACTGTACACTGGATCCCTATTTATAATTACAGTAGGCCCTCTATAATCCAGCACTCCAGTATTTTGCGGCGTATTTTGACAGGGTACTTCTGAAAACAAAGAACTCTGAACTAGGAATGCTCAGTAGCAGTGTATACTGTTTATATTTCTTATTTCAGTTTGGTACTGCACTAGAACATTTATTTTTCAATGTTGGACGGTTTCGCGCACGACTATTATTTAGCCGTTTAAAAATCTAGTACTTCGTGCTTTGGATTTTGTAAAAAAATTAAAGGTTTTTTTTGACAGTTGTAATTTTTGATTCTAAAATTCCTCTTATTAGTTGTAACAGTACCTATGATGAAACACTTGCTTTGTACACTTTAAGTGTTTTTATTTTATATCAGATATTAAAATGTCATTTTAATAAGTTTGAATGAGTAGGCTAAAATATCTTTTCAACCATAAAGATAGAAATGATCGCCAAGGGTAGATAAAGTGGAACAAATCACAGTGCAATCCAATGACATCGGGCATTCTGATTAAAAATAGGACGCGGTACGCGATATAAAATGGAGTTCAGAACAGAATACAATATTGTTTCCATGGAAACGACGGGATAACCTCAGCTTGCTATTTTAGACGTCTAAATTAAATACCTACAGAATTTTCAAAAATTTTATAATATCTATGGCTTTTGCTATAAGATAAAGTATTATACACGACGAAACCAACCACCTCGTGAATTAACATCTTTCATATACGAATGTAATAAAACACGTTCAAATAATGTAGATATATTTTCTTTTCGAAATATAAAATGAAATTACAAATTAAAAAATGGAGCACTACACCAACAGAATGACATCTTTCCCTTGATGGTTAAAATATCCCTTTGTCAATAATAAATAACTATTATTGATGACTTTCCAGTAGTCCTGCATTTTCACTACCCCGCCAGTACCTTGGTTGATGGTCGAGTCTACTACAGGGATTTTCCCAAAAAAAAATTTCCAGGGGCCCCCCCCCCCCACTAATTCCTAAACCTAAAATTAAAAATGTTCTCGTCCCATTTTCAAAAATTCCAAAAAAGCTTTACGATATACACAATGTCATTTTTTCACATCTCTACTGGATGATTGCAAAAATTAAAACCAAAATGTAGGGAAATGTACTAAGGGTCCCTGGTTCGAATCCGGGTTCGGGCATGGATATTTGTAAATGTATAGTGGGTTGGGTTGGTACAGCAGCTTTGGTTAACAAAAATAGTATTTGGGCTAACTTTTTTGGAATAATTGAAAAATAGAGAAAAAATTTTTATTTTACGTAAGCGTCAATTTTTCTCCTTTTTTTAACTTTCAAACTAATAATTTTCAATTTATCTTTTAAAATATGACCTAAATATAAATTTCATACAATATCATAGCTGATACATTTAAGACATTTTGATGTATAATAAATACTTGAAAATACATTGATTGATAAAAAGGATTTCATTTCTATTGTCTATCTCTAACTACATGAAAGACTGTAATTTGGCTTTTTCCCAAAATAATGTTAAAAATATATCACGTAAATTGATGTAACCTTATTATATTATTAATTTTCAAATAAAATGCGGCAAGTGCGTTGTATCTCCCGAAGTTCAATGCTACCCTTGCTTTACTGACCCAAATACAACATTGCTGAAACGTGATTCAAAATATTTTTTACATAAATCAGAACGAAATTACGAAAAGTACCTTCTAATATTTTGAAGATTATTAGTGATGTTTTTTACTACAGTAAACAAAGTAAACACAAAACTCGCTAAGCACATCTGCCCTCTTTGCCATTGCCGGTCCGGTGATTTTTTAATTAGAAAGAAATTCTTTCCAACCCAACGTCAACATAAACCGCAGGAACTGAGTAATCTGTTGGTATTGGTGCAGATTATCTGAGGCATTACCATATGACTATATTGACCTATCTCAAATAATAACGTTGCAAGAGCGCAATTTGAAAAAAATGTCTTTATTGCGCTTATTTTTTAAAACATCAAAAAAACTACATTTTTAACTCTTAAAAATATATTTTTTAATGCAACTGAACTTTTTGTAAAAAGAATGGTGCAAAGATGGTTTCATTCGAAAAAGCTAAAAGCGCACACTAACGTAAAATTCAATTAAACTAACCAGAGGGATCTGGTTAGCACATATTTGCCCCAGCCAGTGAATATCTTAGCTCCAGTTTTTCTGAAAGAACCTATATCCCTCCACATTCCCATTGTTTTGCATTAAAAAATTATTAGTTTATTTTGCATTTTTATTAACTGCATCAAATAAACGTGCTGTCAGCCGTAATGCTGATACTGGTAATTAGTGCTGTAAAGATTCCCAGTATTTCTTGTTATACCCACCTATACTGCTGAATAATGCACAGCAACACAAGTAGGTAGCTACTGCCTGTAAAGCATACATCGAGGCATACACAAATACCAGTGGATAACCCCTCAATTATGACCATTGTTGATTTAAATTACTCAAATATCTCAACACTAATATTATCTACCTACACGATCAGTAGTCCCAAACTAACTTTTTAAGATGCTTACCTATTCTTATTTACTAAAAACAATTCCCAGAGATCACAGGCATCTCGATATTCCGTAGAGTTTTTCTTATAGAACGCTTTAGTGTTACTAACAATTAATTCTATATCAGCTTGCAGATCTTCAATGTCGTCATATTCGTCAGTTTTTAATTTTTGTTGAACCTTTAATAGATCAATTGGATTATTTACAACTTCGTAATATCCTGGTTCTTGTCTGCGCTTTGGTACACGGATAAATGCATCACAGAGAAGAGTTCCATCTTCTTTTTTATAATTGCGTATCGATTCGTACAAATGCTGACATAATTCGCTCTACGATACGAGAAAATAATAAAGTATGTTATGAGGTTGGGGCACTTACAGGGTCTTGTTTTTTGAACCGCTTACGCATAGAAGGACCTATGCTTGATGATGCTTCTATGCTATCAAGGGAGTCTTCTTCTTGCCTACTAGCAATAGAGCTAGTACGTCGCCTTTTGCTCATTTTGTAGGTGAAATTAAATTATGCTTAATTTCATACTTTAATTACCTACGCTCGCAGCGCCTTTTTAAAAATGCAAAATAAAAAATTTCAGTTCACAAACATGCACAATTAAAATCAAAATGGAGGTACCGTAACCTTATACAAAACAAAACACAACACTCACTGTACAAAACAGTGCGCTTGCGTCACGTGGCTTGTGTTGGAAACTTTTGAATTTGAAATGTTAATTACACAGGGTGCGGCAACGAACATTTCTGACAAAAGAATAATAACCATTGATTATGGTAGAATATACAATGATGTTAGTGTGTATAATCATTGAATTTATCAATTGTATAATTGACACAACTAAAATATACATCGAAAGTTTCAATATCTTCGCAGTAAGTCAGGCTCAATTCTCAAGTCCTACCTTCTTCTCAATCTGTATCCCATTTTTTTTTTAATTAAACATGTCTCGTTACATTTTTATACGGATGATATTGTACACGCAAATATTATTACCCTTTAGCCCTTCCGACGTAACTCAACCTTGTAGTTAGTTGTAGGTCAGAGGTGCACCATTTCAATAACAGCCACAGAAGATTCATACTTTACCCTATAGCCTATTGATTGATTATACATAATCAATGCTATAGCTAAGCCCTAAGCCTGGCATGATCTGCAGTGACAACTCACTAAAAGAAATTTCCACAAAAGTAACAAATAAATGCCTATACAGTGAAATAAAAACTAAATATAATTTTAAATGCCATCAATACCCTTTGGTAAATTTTATTGCCCTATTTTTTTCTGATCGATAATGCAAAATTGATTGAAAGCAAAACCGGTTAATCTATTTTCTTATGCTAATTTTGCAAGATCATACTTACTTATTTCTGATTTTTTTAAATTCTTTTGGAATTAATAATAAATATACAATTGATACACAAATTTAAGACCATATTGCCTATATCCAGCTAAAATCTTCCACATAAATATCTTACCAGCAACTTTCTTACATGATTATCTTTATATACTTGGCCGGTACACTCCTACAACCATATTTTAGATGCAATTAGCAGTCCAGTATGCTCTAAACTTCGAGTGAGGTGAGGGTCACGCATATATACCTACCATGAACACCATGCTATATAATGAAATATTGTCATGCCCACTACAGTACCCCTTGAATGTGAGCGTGACCACCAACGAGATTTTACTTTGTTGGTGCACCACCCATTTTGTACAGAAAGCCTAAGGTAATCTTTTCTGGAATAATAATTATCTTTGGGAATGCATAAGGGCTAACAACAGTCCATGTACTGTATGGTGTAAGGGTAAGGGATCACATAATTCTTCTGTCTGTCTACTAGTTTGATAATAATGGATCAGTAGAGTACTTTGGTAGGGGCAATTTGAGATTAAATAGCCCGCAAACCCGCCTGCACATATGCATTGAAAGGGAGAGATAATTTCTCCTATTTCTAAATTGTGTGCAATGTAAATTTCCTTATGGCCCATTTTAAATAACTCAACGCCTTTACATTGTCTGTTGTCACACCCCTACGGTTATGAAGTATGCTAGGTATGTGCTTTCTATGGCCCATCTTTAAAAAAACACCCTGTATGTAGCAGTATTAAGTTCTTGCACCTAATGTAGATCAAAAGATATATGATGGAACAAAAGTGCTACAGCAATGCAGTCTGATATTTTATGTACAAAAATGTCATGTCCATAAAAATGTCATATTTTCTTCTAGACAAACTTTGGATATTCTCGCCAGGAATGATTATATGTAAGTTCAAGGTTATTTTATTTCAAACAACCTTGAGGTAAGTTGACATAATGGTAATCACTCCTGCCAACAATATAAAAATAAACATCAACTGTAGTTCTTTGCAAAACATCTGTAATATATATTATACTATCATCAATCCATTTATGTATCACTGATCATTTAATACAACATTTTACTCAATGTCTTTTGACTTAAAACCTCAGTATCACCTATTCTTCGGTAAATATATTATTTAAACGACGTTTATTTGATGGTGCATTTGTGAAAAGACTTCCTGCAAAAAAATATTAAGAAGAACAAGAACTAAATGGGAAAAATTCCTCACCAATGAACCTTTTTTTAGCTTCGTCAGGTACGTTGGCAACAACGGTACACTCGTTTACATCCATGATTTGGAAATCTAAACATCGAAACCTTTCATCAGTTTCATACAGAGTAGTATTTGCATTTGGAAATAAATACGGTCTACCAGAAAAGGGATTTATAAAGTCCGCCCAATATCCAGCTTTTTTCAGTTTATCACAAATGTTGTGAGCGGTTAAAACAAACTAAAACAACTTCAATAAGTATAGATTCACGTGTGTTTCACAAATAACTACACTGTTTGTGCCAACTTCTCCGTTTCAGTTTCTTTGTTGTGATGGAATAATTTCATGTTTGGCTTTAAGCTGATAGTGACTACCGAAAGTTCCGATATTTCGAGATTATTATTTGGAAAAAGATCACATACTGCCTGACGGAGTACGGCAGGACATTGCTGAACTCTGCATATTATGTCCCCATTATTGGTTTGGGGCTAAAAGTAGTTATCAATATGAAAATGTAAAAGTAATGGTGTTTACATCATCCAGCTGTTCCATAACGAAGACATGATTAGTTTGTGCAGTTGTATTTCTATCATACCACGCGGGACTCACATTTCCTGGAAGGAAAAAAGGAAATCCACTTGGTGAAGCCAACAGCTCAAAATTGGGATCTCTCCATGCCAATTTACTCTCTGTAAGGTGAAGCAAAAGGCGGTCATAGTAGGCTATGTTTATACTCACCTTTAGAAGACTGTCTGGATTTAACAACTTTGTATGGTGAATCTACATTGCTATTACTACGACGAGACAAAGTTCTAATTAAATTAATTGTGCAATTTCTAGGGAATAACCTTGATATATTATGCACTGACATATCTTCATAATCAGTCTTATGTATTAAAGGTTAATCACTCAATTTTGTCTTATTTGTTCAGAAAACACTGTAAATTTTTGTTTTTCTTACGATAAATGTAGGACGTATTTTGAAATTTACAAATTACTTAATTCTAATTTTTTGGTACGGTAAGGTCGTAGTTGTCAAATCAAAATGAACTTGAGACATCTATTAACAGCAAGTGGTACTACTTTCCATTTGGATTATAATAAAGTCTTGTATACACTATCATCAGTACTATGCATGTACATACTATGCGATCAAAAATGAGTTGCTGTCGAGCGACTGGAATTTTTGTGTACATGGCAAATCGTACTTAACTTGAACTTCCAAAGGCGACTCGACAGCAACTCATTTTTGATCGGAATACACTTGCTTTTATAATCACCCATGATGTTATATACGAGCAGTATATGAGGGCCACTCAAGTCCAGTGCGGGTAGTGTGCCAAGCACATATTAGTCGGTCAATTACTACCCGTGAGTAGGCGAGCAAGTATTACCAGTGCCATATAGACTTTTATGGCCAAAAGAAATGAAAATCTGCACACTTATAATTCGATACGTTTATAATGACATTTATTGTCTAATTTCGCTAGTAGTACAAATCATTTTACAAAACTTACATCTAAAAAGGAAAAGTGTTTGCGCTTCATATTTCAAGCAACAAATAAATGTTTATATAACTAATCTTCACACATTGCAATAAACAGCAACATCAGTATAAACTTGATGATAAAAATTCAGTGCACAGGGAAATTCAGGTAAGTTATCAGTTATTTAGCTTTAGTTCAAATAGTTTGGTGGGCATGTTGCAATGAGCTTAAATATAATAAAAATTTTTATCTTTTAAAATTTTGCAATAACTTTAACATTTAGAACTTTGTTTTGTTTTACAGATAAACTTTAAAAAAAATACATGCATACAATTCTCCTATATGCTTTTAAATGGACCAAAGTATTAAAGAATTAGACAACAAAGGAGGTATTAACAAATGATTTTCTTTGATATTTCAATGGCAATAATGATAAGTGATGCTCACATGTTGAAGTGGTGCAATAATGATTTAGCATTACCAGTCAACTTGTGAAAATGAGTGCATCGACAATTTACACAGTGATAAATGCTTCATTTATTATACCTTTTGTATATCTGCATAAGTGTTAAAGCAAATTCTGAGTGGCATTGGCCAATACGTGCTATTTAAGTTCTTTAAAATCCGATCTGAAGTTTCTAATGCTATGGTGTTATCCATTTAAAAGATACATAGGCAAATTGTATGTATGCATTCTCTTAACAAGGATCTCTATGCATATTTGGAAGACCTCAAGTGGGGGAATGCTGAAAAACCCTAGGGACATGGACACCTCGATTGATATGTCTAGCTGCACATTTTTTTTCATCTAAAACTGTTTCTGTAGGGTGTTATGTGGCAGTGGTTTTCTTCTTTAAATACAACATACAACACGCTACATATTGTTTGAACTCGTCAAAACATTCCAGACATATAAAATGTCTTATAGTTTCAACTGTTTTAAAGAAAATGTCAAATTGTCGAATGTCCAATTTATTGCAAAAATTAACAAAAAAAAAGAATATTATTTTAGTACAGAAGTTCATTATTTACTTCCCTGGTTTAATAAATTATTGTCTGGTCAGTTGTGAGAAAATTTACAATTCCACCTATGAAGGCAGGTATAGGGCATTGTATCAGAAGTATGTGTACAATGTTTCAACTAATACAAAAATTGAGTAATATACAGGGTGGTATAGGCCACGGTTACATGACATAACCTGTACAAAACGCTTCGGTTGAAGAAATACGCAACTGAAAATAAAAAATGCCGCATCCCAGGGTTTTTTTGAACATGCCCCGTACATATATTATCAAATGTGCTCCATTTGACTGATACACACTGTATGTATGGGTTTATTTGCCGAAAATTGATTAAACTGCATAAAACTTACGTGAATTACCCTGTAAGATTAAATCTTAATACAATTTCAAAATAAATATAAATAAATAAATACTGTCAGAACCACGTGCATCGACAATGCAGTCCAACATTTAATGTAAATTCTTTGGCCTTTATTAATTAATTTAAGGCAACCAATTATGTACTTATCATAAGTGACCATTCACTTCCAGTTCAAAAAAACAGGTGTGCTGGTCTTATTAGCAAGTTCTAATTGTACTGGTATAATATTATCAGTTGTGCAATGACATGAAAGTCTCTGGAATTCAAGTAGACTGTAAATGTATGTTATTGTAGGAGAATACTGCAAATAAATAGTCGACACTTGCAAGGCAATAACCAAATACTTGATGCCAAAATGCACAATAAGAGAGAAATGTATCAACACCCTATCTTTATTCTAAGCACAAAGTGAATCCATGCAGTGTAAGTAAGACGGCATGCTTGGGGGCAGTTTATCCACCGGTGGAGTCTTATATGGTGTCTTCTTACGAAATTCACGGTCGCGCGCATTGCTCGCAGGGAAAATCAAGAGATTAAAAAGAAATTTATAGAAAATAAATGATGCGGACAAAATTTCCCACAAAAAAACTCCACCACTGCAGATAATAATGCAAATTGTTTCTACAGTGTTAGTGAATTTATGTATGGTGATGTTCATTGACAACCTTAACTTTTTTTATGAATATTTTATGTAGCTTTTAAACTTGCGTTATATCCATTTAGAGTCTTTGGGTTAAATATATTACTATTATTTGTTTATCGATTATCTTGAACTCTTTATAAATCATAAGCAATTAAATGTTTGTTTTTCCAGGTAACCTTTAAATGCATGGCTTAAATAAGTGCTGTAGCCTATATGTTTTTCATTGACCCATTTCTGTTTTGCACTGACCATTACTTTTAAATGCTGTAATAATGACCTGAGACATAAACACTTTTTTTCAAAAAGAGACCATGTTATTTTATATACATTCAAAGGAATTACAGATGTAAACACGGAAATACACTCACTTTGGTGTTCCCTGGATTTTGAATCCAATGCGTCTTCTGTAAGGAAACACCATACCACTCCACTAGCAGAAGTGGATAAATCAAGTACAACCTTCTGTCCCTTTTTTACACTGCTTTGGTCATAATATTGCTTGCACCATTTAAACAGCAGTTCATATACTCCCATCTTATTTTACACTGGATGATACAGAGAGCGTTATATAGTGTGCTGCTAATATTTGTTTTATATATACTTATGATACCTACATAGATATAGAAATACTGAATGATCAAGGCGGTTTCACGCATGTCAACTTAATAAGTAAAAGTGTAGAAGCAATTCTTTGAGGTCCTGCTGCTCAAATTTCACTATAGTCCCTATATTGGTAGAGTACCACAATAGTCATGGTGAGGAATGTATGAAGTGTGGAATAGCAAAATTATAAAAATTGATATACATAATGCACATGTATCTTTTGCGATCTACAATATCAGCTGTGAGACCCATACGGAAACTTGGTGTCTTTTTTACCCTTAAAAGGTACAGCTCACTAAAGCTAAGCGCAGCAACGCGCCGCGAAGCGCACGGCAGCTCAGCCGAGCGCATTTCCGTGCCTATACAATGACAGATTTGAGGTTAGGGATGTGAATCCAGAGGCGCTTTCTTTCAGTGATCCAAACGCGTTTGGATTGTGAAATCACGTTCTTTCGAAGTGTAATCTTATGATCATGATTGCTAAAATCGTGAACAAACTGAACATAAAAGTTTTATGATTCATTTACTGATCACGAATTCCTAACCTATAAATGCAAAGATATTTTTGCTCAAATGTTAGGTTAGTCAATAATTATAACTGAAGAGGAACAAATTTGTGCAAGTACTTCTACTTGTATTCAAATTATTTTCATAATCCAAACAAAAAATACGTAATTCAAATGCAAATGTGTACTACCATACTTTGATTTAAATTCGCGGGTTTTTTCGTAAAACGTGATCCTTAAAATCAATATCGCAAAGTAGCCGAAAGAAAGCGCCTCAGGTATGGCAAGCCATGGAGTCACTGTAGGCAAGCCCAAATGAAAGAAAGGGGTTGCGTGTATTACGTGTTTAAAACTTCGACCAATAAAAAATGTTCATTCAAATGTACCGGGAATTTTTCTGAAGGTGCTTAACTATTTCTGTTGGACGAATTGGTAATAGTAACTGTTAATTATATCAACCTCTCTTAAACCTTTAACAGGCAAAATGTTGAAAATGCGCAGTATATGTGAATGAAAACATTCATTCTGAAAATTGACAAACCCTGCATAGCGTATAACCCCAAAATCAAATGTAGAAATCTGTAATTTTTGTTTCGTTGCAACGAATGTTCAAAGCAAAAAGACACATGTTACTAATTGAACAATAATTTGGAAGATTTAAACTGTAGAATAAACCAGACACTAGTTAAATTGACATGCAGTGAAAATAAACTGAACTCTCAGTTTTACTGCTCAACCCTGATGCAGACTGTCCCTCAAAGCCATTAGAAAACTGAAATAGAGAGTAACGTTTTTGAATTGTGTAAGATGACATCTACAGTCAGCAGTTTGGTGTGTTTATCGTAGTAGGTAGTCAGTTGTAAATAACATTGGATTAACAATGATAAAAGGCAAGAGAAAATGTTGACAATAATGTTGTTTCAGGTAATAATGCCAATTTTTCATGATCAATCTGTGTCTGATGGCATAAGTATTTCTTTGATGATTTACAAGTGGCACTTAATTACTGGGATTGTGATTTTCCATAAAAGCTACGTATCACATCTATCCAATCCAAGGCGTGATTATCTGTACAATTCATATGTATGCAACAAATAGGAAGCAGCTGTTTTGTCAATTATTACAAAATGATCACAGATTGGTTGTAATTATTGAAACGCGTTTCAAACACATCCATATTCATACCAAATTGCATTGTCACGCGGATTGTCACTTTTTTTCTTTTCAGTTGTTTCTTTTGATGTGCTTTCCTCTACAGTTTTTGCTGTTTGACCCGTACTACTACTTTGCGTATCGCCTATTACTGTAGATATTCTGTTATAAACTAGTAGTGGAGCGGGCGATTTATTTGCTGTAGCAACAGAGGGATCATCGTCAGATAAGTAAACTGTCCTTCTGGTGCCAATTGATCCTAAGCTCAGCGCACTACCTTGCTCACGTTGTGAATACACTTGATCACCTGCAACAATGGGCATTAGTAAATTAGCTACCTAAAGAAGCAATAATAACTACTGGCAATGCTATTACGATGCGAAGTTAAATCACGGTGTGATCTCCTAACAGTAACCTCGTCTCTTGGTTTGTGACCATGAAGGCTTCCTGTCGATCTCTTGAAGTGCTCGTTGGTCTTGCCACTTTCGTCAATACTATTATCTGAATCATTCCCACCAGACTCCCCTGATCCGCCCCCTAACGTAAACTGAGATTGTGACAGTCTAGATTCTTCATGCCAAGATCTTCGATTCTAAGGAAATCAGATTCGTTAATCCGTATAGTCTGTCCACAAATTGAATCAACTTTGCTCACTTATTACAAAGTGAAAAAAGTCTTTTTGTATTCAAAATTTAACATTTCATAGTGAAGAAAAGAAAACACTTTCTTATCAAAACTCATGTCTTTGATAAAGTATTTCTTGGACTCAAATTTTATGAGAAAGTAACTGGCGCCAACAGAATTTTGCTATTTTAAAACGTTGGGCAACAAGGAACGTCTCTTGAATGAAATGGGTGTTCCTCTTGGGTAAATAAAGCATTATTATTATTATTATTATTATTATTATCGTTTTTTACTCACTCATGGTGGTATGTTTCACATGAGATGGGTGATGGGACCAAGTCATCATGTGGTATAGTGTGGCGTTTAGTGTCGTCATTGGTTTAGAAACTTTCTGACCATATTTGCAGTATTTAGTAGTATGGCCTTCTGTATGTTTGTGTGTATATGCGTGCTGAGTTGTAGTGCTTGTAAGTGATGTGTAAATGTTTTTGTTGTGAGTCCTGTGACTGAGAGTACGACCGGTACTATTGTTACTTGTTCTTGCTTTCAGAGTTCTTTGAGTTCTATTGCTAGTGGGGTATACTTTATGATCTTTTCTTGCTCTTTGTGTACGAGATTAGCGTCGTTTGGGATGGCTATGTCTATTAACTGTGTTGTGTGTGCGGCTTTATTAATTAGTGTCATGTCCGGTCTGTTATGTGCGATTGTCTTGTCCGTATATAATGTCCTGTCCCAGTATAATTTGTATTTGTTGTTTTCTAGTATGTTTGACAGTGTATACTTGTAGTATGGTGTGCGTGTTTGAATCAGTTGGTGTTTTAGTGCGAGTTCTTGATGTATGATTTTTGCTGCTGTCTATTCGTGTAGTCGGTGCCTGCAATTACTTTACACACTCCTGTAATATGTTCAATTGTTTCTTGATATGCATGGCATTTTCTACATCTATCTGTGTCGATATGTTCTTTTATGATGTACTTTCTGTAATTTCTTGTTGCTATTACTCGATCTTGTATCGCCATAATAAAGGCTTCTGTTTCGGGAAATAATTGCCCCGCTGTTAACCAGGAGTACGTTGGGTGTTTTGTCAATATGAATATCTTGCACTAGTGAAGTTATTATTATTATTAACATAGTTGTTATTAAAGATAATTGATTTTTAGCTTCATAGCTAGAGCTAGGTTGCTATTGCGATCGTCGTCTTTTGGACATGAAGCTAATTGTTTTACTATAGTGCATATATGGTCGATGCCTTTTGCAACACCCCATAGGATTTACACTACTAAATCTATGATGTCCCAAATTTGCTACCCCAAGTAGGTACCTATTTTAAAGACAAAGTGTATCTACCTAACATTAACTTTCCGTTTTTTTTATTATAGAACTGAACAAACGTAAAAAAGAATTGCAATTTTAGAAAAATCAGAGAACTCTCCCTAAACATTGCCATTTAACGTACACGATCTGTGTAGTTGTACGCATTTTTTAGACCATATAATGTCCTCTAGCAAAGAAATGCTATACTTGACAGAAACATGTGTTTCCACAAAAAAGAGTCTACTTTTACCCACCCTATACTTATCTGAAAAGATGTACTTTACTTACTCTACTAGGAACTTTATTAATGATGTCAGAACCAGCCTTTCTCATGCGTCTCACTAAAGTGGAACCAAAACCTTTCCTACAAACAATGCATAAGTACAATGATGTAAAAAGAACAATCAATACTTTTTCGAAGATGCATTATCAAGCTTTCTATAATGTTCCATTATTTTTTCTTCTAGCTTCTCCTTTTGTCTACACAAGTTGTTCAGCTTATCAGTAAATTGCTTCTCTTCCAAATGATAATGTTGCTTATCTTCCAAAGAGTGTGTTAATAACGAATGATACTGTGACAGCAGCTGCGACACATGGTCCATGAGTGCCCTACGATCCGTATCTAATGAATGGTTCATTTCCAACAACATCTAAAATATCAGTGCAACAAGCACACTTCACACGCTTTTTATGCATACATCACATTTTTGCTGCAATTTGGCGTTGTCCAACTGAAGACCAGAAACCAAATCCGACCGCGAACTAAGCTCGCCCTGCATTTCTGTATTACCCAATCGTAGCTTACCCGACTCGGCACGAAGCGATTTATACTCCTCTTGTAAGGCTCGGTATTCTGTCTTCAACCTCTCACTTGCAGTGAATAAATTTCGAAAATCGTCCTGAAAAGTAACAAAGGGTTATCAAGAACTACTAGAAATTACCCACCTTTAACTTCGAGTGCTCTGCACGCAGATTACCCAAGCTTTTAGATTCATTTTTCAATGCATCCTTTTCCAATTCGAGCGACGTTATTTTCTTTTCAAGGGTCGAGTTGATGTCTTTTAGTACGCGAATTTCCGATCGTAAATCGCGATTTCCTTTCTTAATTTGGTCTTGCTCCTTTTTCATTTCGTCATACTCCGTATATAACTGCTCATGAAGTGAACGTAAGGTTGCTTGATCTAAGAGTAGAGTGTCGTGTTGAGTACTTTGAACTTTTTGTTGCTTGGACATCTGGAACAGTTAATAAAAGTACGCGATTAAGGATGTATGGCATTGTTCTAATCACCTCCTCTTTTTCGGCTACCAGTTGACTATTGGCTAATTGCAATGCGGTCTGCTGTGTGGTCAGAGAATTTACTTGTGACGCCAGTGTCGAAATTTCAACTTGCATTTTGGCATTGTCGGTTTGCAGAGATTCATTGATCTGTTGCAAACTACTCACTTCGGCAACTAATTTTTCACACTGCTGATTCCACTCTGCACTAATACTGGACACAACTTGTTCAGCCTGCTTCAGGACATCATCATCGATGTGTAAGGTTTCGGAACAATTTTTACATTTTTCATCGGATTCGGGTTGCAGCAGCGAATATATATTTTTAGATAAATCCGGATTAGAGAGCATTTTTTCTACAATGACATTGATGTCGTTATCCAAGATATCAATATTTAATCCTAATCGTTCTAAATTTGCTTTAAACTTTTCATTAGTTACTTTTTCAGATATTAAATCCTTTTGCAATGTTGCAATAGTTTCTGTGTAAACGGCCGCTTGTGACAGTAATTCCTGCGCTTTTTGCTCATACTCTTGAAGCTTTTCAATTTGTGCTGTTGAAGTTGTTTTCTCTTTACATAGCTCGCTTATTTCTTTTGCTTGTTTTTCACTATTTACGGAAAATTGGTCCAATGTAACATCTTTTTCCTAAAATATATTGAAATACTTATAGTAATAATTAATATCATGCAAGTAAAAAAATCAAGTGAACTAACATTTTTGAAAATGTATGGACACACGAATAGAATTGACCATATAAATCACCTCCAAACCCAAGTTTTTTGTCAGAAGTTGGTCATATTGGCGCTTTATAATAATAATAATAGAGATTTATTACCCAACAGAACACATTCCAATTACAGGACAATACATATTTAATAGTTAACGCACAATTATTTAGTGTAATAAGAAAAAAGAAAGAAACAAAAGAAAAACTCAAAATCCTAACATAACTAAACAACAACAAAATAATTAAATTCATTCATTCATTAAATTTAAGCGAACACTGTCATATGCTCAAGTAACATAAATGAAATTTTTACTTACCTACTTACTTACCATTTTGGACCCCTTCAATCCAAAAGCATACTGAAAGAAAATGTTATTGAACATGCTCACTTTCGTAAATTTGAGGTAGACACCTGGCTTATACTTGAAGATATAACATGTAATTTCAAATTAAATTAATTGATAAAGTAGCCAGAGCTTTGTTTAAATTGATTGTGGGCCAAATTAGATAAAAATGCGAAATTATTGCTTTTATTTAATTTGATAAAACATTTTAAGTTGATAAAATTTTTGCAAATTTCTTTTGTTTTTTTATTTTCAAATGACCCTTTCTTACTTAAAAAACAGGCCTTGTAGTTAGTGGTAAGAAAAGTTAGGGTTTAGTTTTAAATTTAAGGTGTTCAAGTGAATATTAATTGATACTGTTTGTGCTAATAAAATAATTACATTTTGTTTCAAACTCTAGTTATTTTAGCTTTTCAAGTCATTTTCAGTGACAAATAGTCGGGTCTTATTTATTTTTATAACTATTATCTATTCATCCAACAGAAAGCTCCTCCCTAGGAGCCTCCTCTCAAAAAATTCCCGACACATTTAAATAAACATTTTTTATTGATTGAATATATGAAACCCGTAACACGCAACCACTCCTAAACTAACATATCTAAACCCCAAACCTGTCATTGCGTTTTGGTCAACATTTTCCATTGCATTCCTTCATAGACAAACTCGCTTTCATTTGCAGATTTTACCTACGTATTTTTATTTATATTTAGATACAGCATGTTCGCTTATCGAGGATATTCAAAACGAGTGTGCAGAATTAAGCTGTATAATTAATTTGATAGATCTTGTATGTTAACCTTACTTTTGTGCTGATAAAAAATAGATATTGATGCGCAACAATTATTTGAACATAATATAAACTGCAATTTTATTCCAGTGGCAGTTGAAAATATTGCTGCTTCAATAAACATTGGATGAGGGGTAAGTGTCTACCCCTTTGGGTGCTGCTAAGCAGTTTATACGACTAGTATAGCCTCTCGCCCTACGTAAAACGGGCAAATTAGGGATAAAATGGGGGGGGGGATTAACCTCGAAGGTTATTAACCCCTGAGTCCAATACCACTCCGAGGTGTAAATACCACTGTAAGTCGGACGTACAGTGGTATTTGAACCTAGGCCTCGACCTAGACCGTGGCATCAGAGGAACAGCACAATTTAGCAACCCTTTTGAAAAACGGTGGTAACTTTTTTCTGATTTGCTAATCAGAAGAACACTATGTTACATTATAACCTGTCTGACCTCAAAACAGATATACTGTTGAAGTCGCGCAGCCATTGTTTAAAAGCAAAGACAATCACAGGTCATCTTCCCTCCCTCTCATTCCCACTTCAAGTTCTAATAACCAACTTCTGACAAGGACATATGGTGCATTGAATATTACCAACAGAAGATAATAAAATGCACTAAATCAAACTCACCTCAATTGTATGTTTTAATTTGGTAATATCTTTGTGCATATTTGCATTTTCCTTTTCTAACGAGACTATCTTCTCCTTTTGCTCATTGTTTAATTTTTCATAGAGTGCCGTACGATTTACCTCCGCCTGCAAATGTTGCACTTGCTCCAACATTTGATTCAAAGATTTATCTGCATCATCGGCACGTTTGCGAATGGTATCGCATAAAGTGTGAACCCTTTGTTTCTCTTTGGTGAGAATATCCATATTTTTTTCCAGCTCTTGCACTTTCAACCGTTCGTGCTGTAACTCCTGAGATTGTCTGTCCGATATAACTTTTCCAGTATCCATTGTGTCTTGTAGTTTCCTGTTTTCCTGCAAAGCGTTTTTAAAAAGTGCCTCCAATTCAGTATTTTGTCTATTTAATCGATCACAATTATCTTGCAATTGACTACATTTTAAAGCTAGCCTCTTTTTTTCCTTTTCAAGATCTAAGATTTTATTTGACGAGTCATGAAAGTTGTGTTCCTTAAGGGAGTCAATAGTTGAAAGTAGTTTTTGATTTTCCAATTCAAGCTTTAACGCCCTAGCTTGAGCGTTATTTGTTAGTTGCTCCGATAAACTATTATCACCCGAGTTTGTTTCCTCCTTATCGGAATCTATTTGTATGTTCGACAAACTAGTTTCTTGCAAAGCTGATTTGGTGACCTGTTGTAACTGAATATTTTCTTCTATTAATTCCTGAATTTTTTCTTTTGCCGCGTCTCTTTCCTAAAAGTTAAAATTACTCCCATATAAACTGAAGGAGGCCACTAACTAAAGTAAAATCGTTAATATTTTGTTTGCACGTTAAAAGTTCAGCTTCTAATTGTAGCACATGGTCAGTCCTTTGTCTTGATCTCGCCAATTGGGCTTCTAACATCTCCCGTGTTTCCATTAGAACCCTGTTATCTTCTCTCAGTTCGTCCACTCTAACTTTGTAAAAATCCGCATCAGCCAAACGTTCCCTATACCGTATGGCCTCGTTCTCCAATTTATCAGCTCTCTCTGCTTTTTCTCGCATTGCATCTGCCTCATCTCGGTACACTTTCGCCTTTCTGATTTCTACCAGTAAATCAGAATTCTAAAACAAAACTAAGCATAAACGGGAAAATCAATTTTTTTTAACTTTACCTCCATTTTTAACTTGCTCAAAAGCATATTGGCGTGTTCCAGCTCTTCACGACATTCTGCCAGAATCTCAGATTTTTCTTCGCTAAAAAATTCGGATTTTTATACTGTATTAAATACCACTAAAAGTTCCTACAGTTCCTGCCTTTGTTTTCGTAATCGCGCTTTCATGTCAGCCAGTTCCACAGCTCTATGATTCGACTCCACACCTTCAAAAGTAATGTTACTGTTGCTAACATTTGGTTCCTGGTTCAAGTCTGTTATCCACTTATGAAGCAAATTATCTCTTTCACTGGCTAAAGAACGGACATGCGTATAAAGGCGCTCCGCAGACTGATCGGCCCAATCAAGTGTAAGCACAACATTTTGTCCCTCGGTTACCTACAGGAAACGCTTTACTGGTTCGTTCAGTTTTCAATCACCCACAATACCTGCTTAATGCATTCCACAATGTCATGTTGTGTATCAAGTGAGAGTTCCTTTATTTTTGAAATAAAATACTCCTTCGTTGGCCCTTGCACAGCGCAACCAAGAAGCAACAAAAGTAACAAACGCATTTGTTCTAAGGCAGTTTGAGAAGCTGGTGTTCGGCCTAATGTTATACAGTCCGGTAGGGCTACAACGACTTGGCCCAATTCTTCCTTGAATACAAATTATGTCTTTGATTATGTGTGTAAGTGAAAAAGTGCGTGCGTTATATTCACAATAAAAAATACTACTCAATAAAATATGTACTTTTTTTAGGGGCCTTATAAAAAAATAAAGTTGATTACTTCTGAACGAAACGTATTAAAAATCTCTCAATAGTGTCTTGTTGAGCTAAAAAAGCGGTAATGAGAAAGTGTTTATTTTTTATGTATCTGTTCAAGTAACATCAGAAAAAAATGCCAAAAGACAAATTTCGGTTTTTCTGGAATATCTTCTTCATTGTGGTCAAATGCAAGGACCATTAGACCTTGGACTGGTTGGAGAGGACCGTCCCTCTTATTAGGCCCTGGGATGGCGCGTCTCTGAAAGTTCAGAGGCACGTCCCTAAGGTAACCAAGGTGATGGCTGTGTTATATGGGTTCCCAGGTGACAAGACCACCATCTTGAAGCGCCTCCAGAGGCAAAATCCTGGTTTCAGGACGAGTCTATGGAGGACCCTGTCGTTAGGGTATCTCCCAGAAAGCTGGAGAAAGGTAATAGTTGTGTACCTACCTAAGCAACCATGACCTGTGCACAGGAGAACCTACACAGACTACTGTAATAAACATATATATACACATGCAGTGACACTGAGGGCCCTGTCGGCAGACTGGTTCCGATCGGTTACAATGCTTGTAAAGTCACTAAATATAGAAAGTCCAGCAATCCATTGGGCCCGTGTGTTAGAGAGAGAACGCATGATTTTTGCCCAAAAATGGCGGAAGTTACCAGATTCTAGTAACTTTAATGTTAGGGATTGTTCCACCTGTTTGGAGATATCTGCATATATTTTTATAAAACATGACAGTACTATGAAGTTAGGTTATAAAAAATTACAGCTATTCAGATTTTATTTGTCAATTTTTTTAAGTTGGCAGCAAAATTGCCCAAAAATGGCGGATGATTGCGGTACTTTCTATATCTAGTGACTTTAAGTGCTTGATTGTGGGTGCTCCCTCTGTTGTCAGAACCAGGATTAAAGACTAGGTGATCATTTAAATGATCATGATCTTTAAGAAAAAAATTGTTGACTAAAAATTGGCTCAAAGCATCTTTTTCCCTCATAATTCAGTAATACACATGAACAACTTTCAGTGAAATCCAAAATTTTACGCTCAAAGGGCACTGTTTTGCAATTTCAGTGCTAACTAAAATTCTGTTTAGAAATGTTGTTTATATTATCAGTTCCATACCAAGACTTAGGATTTGAGAAAAGGCGCCATGAGTACATGACAAATCCTGAGTTTTCTTGAACACTTTGTACTTCCTGGAGTCATTCATGTTTAAATTACTAATAATAGTATACCTACACTTGTTTACTGAGACATTGATATCTAGGGAACAATTTTAGCTTACATATGATCATTAAGGCCTAGCGATTCATTTCGCCTTAATAACAAGATAGAAGTGGAGAGAAATGTAAGTGCACCTGCACATCAAGTACAAGATTTATGTTGGAAATTGCGATATAAAAATAGAAAGTTTTAATGAATCTGTCTTGTACCTAAATGTGATGTTTTAAAATGCATCAATTTATTGCTGCTCAAAAGATGGTGCTATATGAACTCAAGTCATGCTTAAATCATTTAAGATCATACCAAATTCAAATAATATTCACAGAATGTAACCATCTAAGAATATGACATCTTTGACTAATGTCACCTATTTTTTCATGTAAACCATACCTCGTAAAGGCATTTTATGTTTTTAACAATGCAGTGAAACGTCCTAATACGATTCGTAGTAATATTTAAGCTCTGCAATGACGCAAGCGGCGAAGGAATCGGCTGGGCAGGTTCAGGATCGATTAAAAGTAAAACTTCGCTTATAGGCCCTCCATCAAAGAACGTTTCGTACACTTGTAGAGTCTCTGGCTTTTTGACACACGTTCCAAGCTGTACAAAACGAATTACTTCTAATAATAATACTGAATACATTAACTTTGTTACCCAACTAACTAAAGGTCCTCCTAAAAACTCTTCAATATCTGCTTGACTAGCTGCCATCTTCACTGAAACACTTGTTTTATGGCAGGGGTGGAACACTCATCTTTTTGTATTTATAATTTACTTGTTCCTTGCAAACGAGGTATTTTATCAGTTAGTCATTACACATCCATTTTTCCTGCAAATGCTTTGCACTCATTTTTAAATTCCCATGCTGTCAAACATACTCTTTTGTTGTGTACACGAATCCATAGGCGTGCTTAAGACATTTCCTTGTAGCTTTGTCCACCCTTCGATGATAAACCAGATAATACCAATTTCTCGTTTATATTTATTCAATCAAAATAATTTGTGAATTATTTTGACCCTACTGTTAAAATTAATAATACCCATTTTATGTTTATAGTTTAAGTGTTAACGAACGTCACTGATTTATAATATTTGTGTTGTTCTCCCACGAAATTTTTTTTAAATACCTCATCACTGACCTACAAAACAAGTTCTTTTAGGTAACTGTTTCCAGTTACAGACGTATTAAAACCTTAAAATGCCAACAATTCTTTTTGAATATCATATGGGTCAAATTTTAGACATACTATGTAATAATAAATCGGTAACATGACATGGAGGGGCCTATGTGCCTTAGATACTTAGGTAGATACAATTTTAAGTTATGAAAGTAAAATCAATGTCATCTAGTAGAACATTCCTTTCCTTTTATATCGTTTCGTTCGTAAGATGTCTAATTGCGTAACAGTTCTTACTACAGACAGTGTACCACATCAGGTACCTCTATACACTGGCGAAACATGGTATACCTATGTTGTAAAAGTATCCAAATTTGTACACGTGTTCGTTAGGACCTAATAAACGAATATACTCGAGGAGGGCGAGTGCAACCCCTTTCGGGGAGTTTACCCCATTCAGTTTTAGCGTATTTTCCTCAAAATGAAAAATCGCTCTTGGCTGTACTTTGTCGTCCGTCCATCCATCTGTTCGTCCGCCCATCACACGTACTACTTCTACGCGACTGAACTGATTAAAGCCTTTAGGCGATATGGGCCTCATTAGAAAGGATTTGGCGCAAGGATTCCCTGCGTACCGATATTTTTGGTTTTGCGCATGCGCAGTGTCTAAAATTTTATTTTTCTACACCTGTCAAAAAGACCTGTTACTACTGACCAATTTCGAAGTACGAACTACGAAGTAGATGTAGAAATCGTTTACACGCCATTAAAAAACAGCAACTTCACACAGTTCATAAACATGAAGAAGAGAGTGGATTTGTGTCTCCTTAACGGGAGTGACCACTTCGAATATTTATTTTAATGTAATTTCAAAGAGTGGTATAGGCAATGATTAATGATCGCTCTGTACTTAAACCATGGCCATAGACTGTGCCATAGACAATTAGACATATCTCATACGATTTTCTATTCATCCGGCAACGCTGTCTAACAATACATTTATTTCAAAGTTAGGTTATGTTATTGTTGCTGTATTCATTGGTTGCTGTATTTAAAAAAAACAGTTTCAGTAACATTCCATTAATAATGAAAGAAACAACAACAGGTGATTGGTGGAACCAATTAAATGACGATGAATTTCAAGATGTATTCCGCATGAACAAAAAGACCGTAGTAGATCTTCAAGCCGAAATAGACCACTCCGAAAATTTGTTCATCGATAGAGTCGATAAGCTTCTGTTGGCGTGTATTTGGGTTTTGGGAAACACAAGGTCGTTCAAAGAAGCGGAAACTTTCTTTTGCATCGAAAACATCGAAAGCAAAATGCAAGAGTATTTCACCAAAATCTTAAACCTCGGCTCAACTTACATCGTGTGGCCATTGGAGAATGAGTTAGCGGAGGTACAGAAGGGATTTATGACCCACTATAAATTTCCTAAATTGGTCGGTGTGATTGGTAGTTTACATATAGAGATAAATCCAGAAAGTATTTCAGGCAAAGCAGAGTATTTTAACAACATTATGCATAAGCATACAATAGTTTTGCAGGTTGTTTGTGATAATAACCTTTTAGTGAGGGACATTTGTGTTGGTTCTCCAGGAGGAAAATCTATCAAGCAAATTTTAGAAGGTAGCCCATTACATTCGCTTATCACAGATCCGGATGGAGCCATTGTAAAGAATGACTATTTATTATTGGGAGGCACCGAACATCCGAAATTAAAGAATTTATTAACACCGTATGAATTCTCAAAGGCCCAAAAGATAAATGAACGTCACTTAGAATTTAATATACTCCAAAATTCAGTCATGTGTGTAGTGGAGAAGACATTTAAATGTTTAGAAACTAGATTTCCACGACTAACAAGTGTGGACAGGCTAAACCCTAGTATTGCGTCGTTGTTAGTTAGTTGCATTTGCATATTGCATAATTTTACTAGGGTCAGAAATGACAGATGTGAATTATATTTGTAATTCTATTTATGGTAATTAAAATAACATTTTTTGTAGACATTGTATCATTACTAGCTTTGTTTAATAGCTTAATCAAGAACCTTGGTTGGTGTAGCCAAAATGAAAAACGTAAATTAGATTATAATGAACCAAATTGGGTTCGTTCATAAGACAACAGTTAGCAAAACTCTACCTTATCGGTAACAGTTGTGCTCTTATGTCACGATCCCTACTTTGACATATGTAGCACCATAGTGTAAAGAATAGTTACACTAAGGTAGCACCAAGTACCATTGAATTTATTTATAATGCCAAAACAATGTTCTATGTTTGTAATGGTAGAGCTACTAAGCTAAAACAGTTTTGTGTTTATGATTGCGCTGAAAAGTGTTTTGAAAGGAAAAATTAAAAAGTCGATGCTTGCAAATTATCTAATGACTTTTAATTCAGATGGTTTCAAGCTGTAGTCTTACCAAAGAGCATACACATATTCAGTACTTTAGTATACCTATCTTGTAAAGAAGGTATTTTAGAGGAAGATGGCCAGTGGGTTCTGTTCCTATAGTCGTTGACTGCTAGGCTCTTTATGAATCGCTTAGCCTATACTTCCATATAGCCATAGTTATATTTGTTGATAAATTTGACGCGTTTATCTACTTAGTACTTTCATACTCGAATATGAAGGCATTATATAAAATTTGAAGGCATTTTTTACATGGTATTTATGGAAGTATGATGTGTTGCCAACTTTCTATAGGGAGGCAGTACTATAGAACGGAGTATGTAAAGTTGCCTAGTGTAAATCGCCAAATTTGGCCATTTATAATATTTATTTGTGATTGATGGCAGAAACAATATTAGACCAATTATAATGCACATTTTCTATCTGTATACACCAAACGGGGCGGCAGAAGCTATTTCGCGTTTTTGAGGAAAACTTTTAAGTTGTTTTTCCAAGATAACTCATCTACAAATGAAGTTGGAATAATTTCCAAAATTGAAATAAATTCGTAAACTTAATATCCAAGCAATAACGCCATAAAAATTTATTTCCTTTTTTCCTTTCCAAAATATGGCACCCTAACGGCACTTGTCGTTACTCGTAAAAAAAAGATTATTTTAAAAGAGTTTAGTAAACCCCGGCGTTATTGTCTAGCTAAAGCATTCACCTTTCACAGGAATATTCGACCCCTTCTTCATCTTCACTCAGAATTCAGATATAGGGGAACGAAATCAAGCGTTTTCGGGCTACGAAACAGGTGTAGGTACTGTCCAGCCATAAGTAGAGACTGAGCCAGAAGAACTTTCATAACGGCCGTGGGAGGTGGTCTACATGGTTCCCGGAAGCGCTAGTCTTTTGTACATGCTCCAAAAGTGCATTGCTGGTGCCTGGTTCTATGCCACCAGATAATGCCCCCCATAAACAAACCACAGGTCCAATCATGGCGACATATACAGTGCTATTTATATTAAGAAGTAGACATAGAGATTTACATGTATTGTTTTTCCTATGTCTACTTTTAGTACAGTCAAAGAGTAGGTATACTCTTTGGTACAGTCAAATTAGACAAAAAATGGGCATTCCGTGCATCAGATATGTCATCTCTAATTTTTTTCTTAAATTGTTAGGATCAATATGGATGTGAAAAATCCAAGTTTTCGACATTGAAAGACCTGTGCGAGCGACACAGCACTTGAAAATAAGTTATTTTTCTTACCATTTTTTGGTTTTTGTAAAATTTACTCATGAAGAACCGATATTAATGCAATTATTGTCGTATACTTTTTTAAACTAGACATAACTTGTGACAATTTAAGCCCTTAACTATCTCCGCAAATCTAATAATTTCCGAGATACGGCGTTTCAAATATTGGTAAATTTATTAGTATTACAAGTTTTATCAAAATTTGCGTTCTTTCTTCGCAGAAAGTAAATTTACCAAATATGCACGATGAAATGTAAGTCGTGAGTCGTAATAAACTTGTGGAAGAAGTGCTAAAAATTGCGGATAATGAAAGCAAATTAAATATCGAGTGTTGTCTTTTAGTGGAAAAATATCTATGTTTATATGATTACTTATTCAGTGATCATTCAAACCATAGTGTTGTGAGTAAGCATTCTGCTACTGTCACAGATCTTCTATATTCGGTATCCTTTTTGAATGGCCGAGCAAGGTCAGGCAAAACAAAAAATTCACAGATTTTGCAATCTATGCAACAGGTAGTGGATCTTGCTGAAGAGGAAGAAGATGACAACTTTCTTATCATGGGAGCAGCTGAAGATCCAGAGACCAGAGGATATCAACATTCTAACTCTTTCTGTCCAGATTTATGGAGACTCCTCACCACAAAGTCCCCCCAAACGAGCAAAAATATAAAAATGTTCATGAGGTTTTTATGCGAAAAAAAGGCAAATTTGATTAAAACTGAAGAATTTACGAATTTTTGAAACGTTGTATCTCCAAAACTATTAGACTTCCAGAGCCGGTTAAGGGCTTGAATTGTCACAAATTTTGTCTAGTTTAAAAAAGTATATAACAGTAATTGCTTTAAAATCTGTCCTTCGAACTAAAACTCGACTAAAACTAACCAAACCCTAAAAATAATAGAAAAAATGGCGTATTATCGAGTGCTGCGTTGCTCGCACAGGTCTTTGGATGTCGAAAACTTGGATTTTTGACATCCATACTCAGCCTAACAATTAAAAAAAAATAGAAATGACACATCTGATGCAAGGTATTATGATAATTTGACTGGACTATTTTAAATGACAAAATCTCTTCTGAAGTTATGCAACCAAAATAACTAACAAATAAAGATCTGGCTGTCATATTAATTAATTTGAATATTGTTGCTTTAGCTTCGCAGAAAATAAATCCCTTACGCTCTTTCTGCTTCCGCCATTATACCAATTGACAATATCAAC